CCAAATATCTCAACAAAAAGTTGTAAGGTCAATTTATAGACTGATGATAGGTAAATTATCTAGATTATAATATGTAAGTAAGCATAATAAAGGACAAAAAAGTTTGAAAAGAAAATGAATTTGATATGTTTTAAGCTTATAAACTTCATAAATATATAGTCTTTATTTTGGCATTATGTATTAAATTCTGAAATAAAAATTCCCTGTTTTGCTTCTTATACACGAAAAAGTAAATAATTATCTTAAAGGTAAATTATCTATGATGATAAAGAGACATTATTTTGGCTGAAAAAAGATTCTAAAAATAAAATAATTAATTTCTCTACAAAACTTCAATCATGAATTGGGGAGCAAGTTTACAAAATTGGTCCGATTTAAAATTTCTTTATGCTACCATTATTTCATTGATAATATATATTTTTTTTAATATCTTCATTTTACATTCCTAAATTGATGTTATAATCTCATTGTAAAGCTATATTTTATGATTGCATTTCAAAATAAAATGCTCCGCTGGGGCGCAGCTTGATACGACCGCAGAGGTCGAACCCTGAACAGTTGGGGCAAGTACGGACACAACATTCAAGCTTGATACAGCACTGAATTTAGATTGTAATTAAATATTTGACACAGCATAGGTTTCTGACTCAGAATGAAAGTGGTCTAAGAACTTAAACATTTTTAATTTACCTATTCAAACCATATCATTATTATTTGCTTTTATATATAAATCAGAAATAACCAATTTAAAATGGAAAATTCTAAAGAAAAAAAAGGGAAAAAAAATCCCCCCCCCCAAATTTTTTGAACCCCCTTATGATTCATCTCCCCCAAACTCAATACCAGCCTTCCCTTTGTGGTATGGTACAATGTACCTTGCAGTACAATTTCAGAGAGATCCATACACTTGAACACACGTTATTGTCTGGAAACTAGAAAAATGCTTATTTTTTGCCCCTTTTTGGCCCCTTCTTCCTAAGCTTTTTGGTCAATCACCCCCAAACTCAAATCCAGCTTTCCCTTTGTGATATGGAACCTTGTAGTACAATTTCATAAAGATCCATACACTTACACACAAGTTATTGTCATGAAACTAGAAAAATGCTTGTTTTTTTGCCCCTTTTTGGCCCCTAATTCCTAAAATTTTGAGGCAAATACCCCCAAAATCAATTCCAGCATTCCCTTTGTGATATGGAACCTTGTGATACAATGTCAGAGAGATCCATACACTTACACACAAGTTATGTCGGGAAGTTACAATAAAATGCTTCGCTGGGCGCAGCTTGATACGACCGCAGAGGTCGAACCCTGAACAGTTGGGGCAAGTATGGACACAACATTCAAGCTTGATACAGCTCTGAATTTGGATTGTGATTAAATATTTGACACAGCATAGGTTTCTGACACAGAAAGAATGTGGTCTAAGAACTTCAATTTTTTAAATTTACCTATTATGGTCCAATGTCCAAAATCAAAATACATGGTTAGATTCAGCATATCAAAGAACCCCATATATTCAATTTTTGTTGAAATCAAACAAAGTTTAATTTTGGACCCCAACTTGGACAAACTTGAAAACTGGTCCCATAATCAAAAATCTAAACACATGTTTAGATTCAGCATATCAAAGTACCCCAAGAATTCAATTTTTGTTAAAATCAAACTAAGTTTAATTTTGGACCCTTTGGACCTTAATGTAGACCAATTTAAAAAACGAGACCCAAAATTAAAAATCTAAAAACACGTTTAGATTTGGCATATCAAAGAACCCCAATAATTCAATTTTTGATGAAATCAAACAAAGTTTAATTTTGGACCCTTTTGACCACAATATGAAACAATTTGATAGCGGGCCTACAAAATAAAAAATCTAAATACATGGTAAGATTCAGCATATCAAAGAACCCCATATATTCAATTTTTGTTGAAATCAAACAAAGTTTAATTTTGGACCCCAATTTGGACCAACTTGAAAACTGGGCCAAAAATCAAAAATCTAAATACATGTTTAGATTCAGCATATCAAAGAACCCCGTATATTCAATTTTTGTTGAAATCAAACAAAGTTTAATTATGGACCCCAACTTGGACCAACTTGAAAACTGGTCCCATAATCAAAAATCTAAACACATGTTTAGATTCAGCATATCAAAGAACCCCAAAAATTCAATTTTTGTTAAAATCAAACTAAGTTTAATTTTGGACCCTTTGGACCTTAATGTAGACCAATTTAAAAAACGGGACCCAAAATTAAAAATCTAAATACACGGTTAGATTTGGCATATCAAAGAACCCCAATAATTAAATTTTTGATGAAATCAAACAAAGTTTAATTTTGGACCCTTTTGACCTCAATATGAACCAATTTGATAGCGGGTCCACAAATAAAAAATCTAAATACATGGTAAGATTCAGCATATCAAAGAACCCCATATATTCAATTTTTGTTGAAATCAAACAAAGTTTAATTTTGGACCCCAATTTGGACCAACTTGAAAACTGGGCCAAAAATCTAAAATCTAAATACATGTTTAGATTCAGCATATCAAAGAACCCCATATATTCAATTTTTGTTGAAATCAAACAAAGTTTAATTTTGGACCCCAACTTGGACCAACTTGAAAACTGGGCCCATAATCAAAATTCTAAACACATGTTTAGATTCAGCATATCAAAGAACCCCAAATATTCAATTTTTGTTAAAGTCAAACTAAGTTTAATTTTGGACCCTTTGGACCTTAATGTAGACCAATTTAAAAACGGGACCCAAAATTAAAAATCTAAATACACGGTTAGATTTGGCATATCAAAGAACCCCAATAATTCAATTTTTGATGAAATCAAACAAAGTTTAATTTTGGACCCTTTTGACCTCAATATGAACCAATTTGATAGCGGGTCCACAAATAAAAAATCTAAATACATGGTTAGATTCAGCATATCAAAGAACCCCAAGAATTCAATTTTTGATGAAATCAAACAAAGTTTAATTTTGGACCCTTTTGACCTCAATGTGGACAAAGTTGATAACGGGGCCCAAAAATCAAAAATCTAAATACATGGTTAGATTCAGCATATCAAAGAACCCCATATATTCAATTTTTGTTGAAATCAAACAAAGTTTAATTTTGGACCCCGATTTGGACCAACTTGAAAACTGGGCCCATAATCAAGAATCTAAATACACGGTTAGATTCGGCATATCAAAGAACCCCAATAATTCAATTTTTGTTAAAATCAAACTAAGTTTAATTTTGGACCCTTTTGACCTTAATGTAGACCAATTTAAAAACGGGGCCCAAAATCCAAAAACTTAATACACTGTTAGATTCAGCATATTAAAGAACCCCAAGAATTCAAGAATAAAACCCCATTGAAATTGATCAAGAAATAAGCAATTTATACGAAGTATCTTCTTTTGCACAATACTGTGCAATTGAATATTTCTTGCTATTGTGCAATACTGTACAATTGACAATTTCTTGCTATTGCGCAATATTGTGCTATTGGATATTTCTTGCTATTGCGCAATACTGTGCAATTGAAGATTTCTTGCTATTGCGCAATACTGTGCAATTGAAGATTTCTTGCAATTGTGCAATACTGTGCAATTGAAAATTTCTTGCTATTGCACAATACTTATTATATAATAATTTACACATCCTGTTTGGTGTGTAACTCCTACCATATCATTATTATTTGCTTTTAAATATTAATCAGAAATAACCAACTTAAAATGGAAAATTTTAAAAGAAAAAAAAAAGGAAAAAAAGAAAAAAAAAGAAAAAAAAAAAATCCCCCCCCCAAATTTTTTGAACCCCCTTATGATTCATCACCCCCAAACTCAATCCCAGCCTTTCCTTTGTGGTATGGTACCTTGCAGTACAATTTCAGAGAGATCCATACACTTGAACACAAGTTATTGTCTGGAAACTAGAAAAATGCTTATTTTTGGCCCCTTTTTGGCCCCCAATTCCTAAACGTTTCAGGCAATTACCCCCAAACTCAATTCCAGCTTTCCCTTTGTGATATGGAACCTTGTAGTACAATTTCAGAAATATCCAAACACTTACACACAAGTTATTGTCATGAAACTAGAAAAATGCTTGTTTTTTGCCCCTTTTTTGGCCCCTAATTCCTAAAATTTTGAGGCAATTACCCCCAAAATCAATTACAGCCTTCCCTTTGTGATATGGAACCTTGTGGTACAATGTCAGAGAGATCCATACACTTACACACAAGTTATTGTCTGGAATTACAAAAATGCTTATTTTTGGCCCCTTTTTGGCCCCTAATTCCTTAACTGTTGGTACCATAACCCCCAAAATCAATCCCAACCTTCCTTTCGTGGTATTGAACCTTATGGTAAAATTTCATGGAGATCCATTCACTTAAACTAAAGTTAGAGTGCGAAAACCAATGTGTCTTCGGACGACGCCGGACGACGCCGGACGACGACGACGACGACAACGACGACGACGACGACGACGACGCCAACGTCATACCAATATACGACCAAAAAATTTTCAATTTTTGCGGTCGTATAAAAATGCTTATTTTTGGCCCCTTTTTGGCCCCTAATTCCTTAACTGTTGGTACCATAACCCCCAAAATCAATCCCCACCTTGCTTTTGTGGTATTGAACCTAATGGTAAAATTTCATTGAGATCCATTCACTTAAACTAAAGTTAGAGTGCAAAAACTAATGAGTCTTCGGACGACGACGACGACGCCAACGTCATACCAATATACGACCACAAAAATTTTTTTTTTTAAAAATAAGAAGATTTGAATGCTATTAGAAAGTCTAGTTTTCCCTTGATCAGACTGAAAGTTGAAAACCTAAAAAATCAAATTGTCATGTATAAAAATTCAAATTGTCATGTATAAAAAATCTTGAAACATAAAATTCAATGACTTATTTCATTTGAAGAAAAGTATGATAACCATGAGACAGTAAAAAAGCATATAAACTTTCTTTAAATGAAATCATACAACCATGATTTTTAATTTTTAATTTGATATTTTAACAATTTATATTTTAACAAGATTAGGGTAATAAGACTTTTCACAAAATGTGTTTTAAAGAATTTGAATGAATCTTTATTCAATATTCAATGAAGTAATACCTTTGAAAGACACGTTCATATTGACAACAACGTAAGGCATTATAGGTATGTATTAACAACTTTGGGAAACGTGAGGTGAAATATTGTACAAACTGGTCAGGAATAGCACCAAGTGATCTCTTTAAATCCTCAGGTAATTCTCTGTAGTGATGTTTCTGAAATATCAAAAACAATTACATTCATTTTACAAAATGCTTATTTTTGAAATCTCAAGAAGAGATTTTATATGAATTTATAGGGTTAAATATACTTACAACAATCTGCCACCACCCCTAGAATAAATTCAGTTTTTTGTTCACACAATTGTAATTATTTAATTAAACCACGAATTAAAACTGAAGTGACTGTATGTACACAGGTAAATTATGACGTAGGTACATCTCATGTATGTATTTTTAATCACCTAGTTAATTGCGATGAGAAAATGTTATGAAGGCAAACATTTTCCATATAATATAAATGTAAATTCATGGTAAGTATATTTAAACAAATTCATATAAAATTCATATTATCTCTCATAAGATACGTAGAGAATCTGTAATCATATAATAAAAAGGGAAAATGTTTGATTGATAAATCCTTTGGTTTAAAAAGAACCTCTGGGTTTGCAACCATTTAAAAATCAAGTCTTCATGCATTTAGAAATGTTTCATTTTAGAAGTGTGATCCTTATATAGAATTTTACTTCAAAATTTTCAAGCTTAGGAAATCTCCATTGTCATAAAGGTTTTAAATTCAAAAGTTCTTAAATTAAATATCAAAAAAAGGAAAATGTGTCCATGGGACACAGATGATGCCCCTGCTTGCATATAACGTTATAAAGGGGCATAACTCGAGAATGGTAAATGGGAAACCACCCAAATTTGAACTTGATCTGAGTTTTGTGGTAATAAGCATAGTGTATTACACGGATGGACAAGGGAAACACTTAATGCCTCCTCCGGTGATGGCAGGGGCATAATTAGAAATGAATTCATGGCAGGTCATAATTTTGTTGGTTGTAAATTTGATTGGTCTTGGAATGATAGCAACACCTCTGACAATGATGTGAAGGGAATGCTATTTATGTTACTGAGCATTTCAAAGAAACAGCATCAAGTCATATAAGAATAATTTTCACAAAATAAAAAACAATTTTATTTCATACCTTGTTTCTCATGGCTCTCAACAAATCTCTGATATTTTCTCCTTTATATGTTCTAAATTTTCTTAAATCTAAAAAAAAAAGACTAGCAGTGTTATTTCTCAAATAAATAATTTAACTTTATAACTTTAACAACAGCTTTTCACAAGACTTGGAACTTATTATCATTGATTAGACTTTTAAAAAGACATATAACATAAAGTTGAGTACAGCACAAGCAACTTAACACAACTTGTAAAATAATGACATTTATTAAGATTAATTTTTTTTTAAATAAGACTGCTTTCAAATAGTTTTGTTTACAACAACAGTATTTTCAAACATATATTCCTTAATTTTAGATATACTTTGTATACTAAGAAAAATTAATAAAATGCTCCGCTGGGCGCAGCTTGATACGACCGCAGAGGTCGAACCCTGAACAGTTGGGGCAAGTATGGACACAACATTCAAGTTTGATACAGCTCTGAATTTGGATTGTGATTAAATATTTGACACAGCATAGGTTTCTGACACAGAATGAATGCGGTCTAAGAACTTAAAATTTTTTAATTTACCTATTATGGTCCAATATCCAATATCTAAATACATGGTTAGATTCAGCATATCAAAGAATCCAAAGAATTCAATTTTTGATGAAATCAAACAAAGTTTAATTTTGGACCCTTTTGACTTCAATGTGGACCAATTTGATAACGGGGCCCAAATATCAAAATACATGGTTAGATTCAGCATATCAAAGAACCCCATATATTCAATTTTTGTTGAAATCAAACAAAGTTTAATTTTGGACTCCAACTTGGACCAACTTGAAAACTGGGCCCATAATCAAAAATCTAAACACATGTTTATATTCAGCATATCAAAGAACCCCAAGAATTCAATTTTTGTTAAAATCAAACTAAGTTTAATTTTGGACCCTTTGGACCTTAATGTAGACCAATTTAAATAAAATGCTTCGCTGGGCGCAGCTTGATACGACCGCAGAGGTCGAACCCTGAACAGTAGGGGCAAGTATGGACACAACATTCAAGCTTGATACATCTCTGAATTTGGATTGTTATTAAATATTTGACACAGCATAGGTTTCTGACACAGAAAGAATGTGGTCTAAGAACTTCAATTTTTTTAATTTACCTATTATGGTCCAATGTCCAAAATCAAAATACATGGTTAGATTCAGCATATCAAAGAACCCCATATATTCAATTTTTGTTGAAATCAAACAAAGTTTAATTTTGGACCCCAACTTGGACAAACTTGAAAACTGGTCCCATAATCAAAAATCTAAACACATGTTTAGATTCAGCATATCAAAGAACCCGAAGAATTCAATTTTTGTTAAAATCAAACTAAGTTTAATTTTGGACCCTTTGGACCTTAATGTAGACCAATTAAAAAAAACGGGACCCAAAATTAAAAATCTAAAAACACGGTTAGATTTGGGATATCAAAGAACCCCAATAATTCAATTTTTGATGAAATCAAACAAAGTTTAATTTTGGACCCTTTTGACCTCAATATGAACCAATTTGATAGCGGGCCCACAAATAAAAAATCTAAATACATGGTAAGATTCAGCATATCAAAGAACCCCATATATTCAATTTTTGTTGAAATCAAACAAAGTTTAATTTTGGACCCCAATTTGGACCAACTTGAAAACTGGCCCAAAAATCTAAAATCTAAATACATGTTTAGATTCAGCATATCAAAGAACCCCTTATATTCAATTTTTGTTGAAATCAAACAAAGTTTAATTTTGGACCCAACTTGGACCAACTTGAAAACTGGGCCCATAATCAAAAATCTAAACACATGTTTAGATTCAGCATATCAAAGAACCCCAAGAATTCAATTTTTGTTAAAATCAAACTAAGTTTAATTTTGGACCCTTTGGACCTTAATGTAGACCAATTTAAAAAACGGGACCCAAAATTAAAAATCTAAATACACGGTTAGATTTGGCATATCAAAGAACCCCAATAATTCAATTTTTGATGAAATCAAACAAAGTTTAATTTTGGACCCTTTTGACCTCAATATGAACCAATTTGATAGCGGGGTCCACAAATAAAAAATCTAAATACATGGTTAGATGCAGCATATCAAAGAACCCCATATATTCAATTTTTGTTGAAATCTTACAAAGTTTAATTTTGGACCCCAATTTGGACCAACTAGAAAACTGGGCCAAAAATCAAAAATCTATATACATGTTTCGATTCAGCATATCAAAGAACCCCATATATTCAATTTTTGTTAAAATCAAACAAAGTTTAATTTTGGACCCTTTGGACCTTAATGTAGACCAATTTGAAAACTGGACCCAAAATTAAAAATCTAAATACAAGGTTAGATTCGGCATAACAAATAAATAAATGTGGTCAAAGATTTTACAAATCTAATGCGCCATACTGGTCTTCCTATATAAATATGCATTTCTTTAAACATAATTTAAAAGCAGTGTAAGGGAAGTAACCAAAACGTTGTATTTGGATTACCTCCCTTACACTGTTTTAAATTATCTTAATTGTTCATTAACCATTACTTTATACATTATTTAAAAGCAGTGTAAGGGAGATAATTTCAATGATGTATTTGATTTATCTCCCTTACACTGCTTTAAATTATGTTTTGTACTAAAGTATTTGTCCATTAATGAGGACAACCTTGTTTTTCCCCCTTTTTTGCCCCTAATTCTTAAACGGTTTGAGCAATAACCCCCCAAAACAAATCCTAACCATCCCTTTGTGGTATGGAAACTTGTAGTATAATTTCAGAGAGATCCATACACCGTTCCACAGTTATTGTCTGGATACTAGAAAATGCTTATTTTTGGCCCCTTTTTGGCCCCTAATTCCTTAACTGTTGGTACCATAACCCCCAAAATCAATCCCCACCTTCCTTTTGTGGTATTGAACCTTATGGTAAAATTTCATAGAGATCCATTCACTTAAACTAAAGTTAGAGTGCGAAAACTAATGCGTCTTCGGACGACGACGCCAGACGACGACGACGACGACGCCAACGTCATACCAATATACGACCACAAAAATTTTTTTGCGGTCGTATAAAAACGGGACCCAAAATTAAAATCTAAATACACGGTTAGATTTGGCATATCAAAGAACCCCAATAATTCAATTTTTGTTGAAATCAAACAAAGTTTAATTTTGGACCTCAATTTGGACCAACTTGAAAACTGGGCCCAAAATCAAAAATCTAAATACATGTTTAGATTCAGCATATCAAAGAACCCCATATATTCAATTTTTGTTAAAATCAAACTAAGTTTAATTTTGGACCCTTAGGACCTTAATGTAGACCAATTTGAAAACTGGACCCAAAATTAAAAATCTAAATACACGGTCAGATTTGGCATAACAAATAAATAAATGTGGTCAAAGATTTTACAAATCTAATGCGTCATACTGTGCAATTAAAGATTACTTCTTGAAATTTTTCAATATTTGAAATTTGAAAAAAAATAATATTTGAACAATAATTCTTTTTAATTTCTGAAATCTGAAATGAGAAGAAATTGATCCCCCACAATTTCTTTCTATGGATTTTTTTGTAAAAAAAAAAAAAGATGCAACATTTGCAGATATTTACTCCCTTACACTGCTTTAAATTATGTTTTGTACTAAAGTATTTTGGCCCCTAATTCCTAAAATTTTGAGGCAATTACCCTCAAAATCAATCCCAGCATTCCCTTTGTGATATGGAACCTTGTGGTACAATGCCAGAGATATCCATACACTAACACACAAGTTATGTCTGGAAGTTACAAAAATGCTTATTTTTGGCCCCTTTTTGGCCCCTTATTCCTTAACTGTTGGTACCATAACCCCAAAATCAATCCCTACCTTCCTTTTGTGGTATTGAACCTTATGGTAAAATTTCATAGAGATCCATTCACTTAAACTAAAGTTAGTGTGCGAAAACCACTGTGTCTTCGGACGTCGCCGATGACGACGACGACGCCAACGTCATACCAATATACAATCGCAAAATTTTTTTGCGGTCATATAAAAACACAGTCACTGTAATATTTTTTCTAAAACTTATTTTTGAATGTTAGTATTTACCATTCTGCAATTCCTCACTGATATGCTTTCTCCAGTCAAACTTAACAACTTCCAAACCTTTTTTCTCTAAACAAATAAGAACTTCACTATCAACATTTTCTTTCTCTATTCTATCACTCACATCCTGTTAAAAAAGAACAAATGTTGTTATCATAATACCACCAAAAAAATGATGGTTTGAAGTGCCTAAAATGCTCACCCAATAATCATTCTTTGACTTAAAGTTTATCAGGTCAAAGTTTAATATTAAACTCATTGAAGGTTTACAGAGAACATTTTTATAGTCTGAGGTAAATAAGACAATTGGTTCTTTTGAGAAATCAAAACACTGTAAATGTTGTAAGACAGCTTATCTTACTTGATCACAATAAGTATATTCATATGTAGAAATTATCTCAGACTAATTCTTTACAAATGTTTTAATCAAAGCAGATGTTGAAAGCTTTTTTTCTGAAGTATTTCAATAAAGAAATATTCATAAGACTTGGTTAAAAAGTTGTTTACTTTAGTACATCTTTTATAGCAGAATTTTTTATTTAAATGAAGCAAAATGTACAGTATAATCCTGTAAATTTCAATTTTTGAAATTGAATGGTCTCCCTTTATAATATTTAAAAAAAAATGTTTTGGATAATTGAGCCCTTTGAACATATATATTGAGAACAAAATGTGAGAAATTAACTTTGATATCAATATACTGTTTGTATTGAATTTGTTAAATTATTTCCACAAGAAAAAGATACTGATAAAATACTATTAATTTTCTTATCAAAAATGTTTAAAAATGATATAGTCAGTTTTCAATCAAATCATAAAGAGCAATACAATATTATAAGTTTTGATTGTTATAAGAACTAATGGCAAATGTATTCAATTAAAATTGAATCACCTGCTTCACTTTAAAATGTATTTCTTCAATTAATAATTCTTTAAGTAATCAATATTTCATCATTTTGCAAAAGTTTTGAATGAATTTGATAAAAGGTACATATTAATGTAGAAAAATTAATAATGAAACAAATGGTATATACTTTATCTGCTTGACAATGGGTGTGTTATGATTTCAATACAAACTTGTTATTTTCATGTTTTCAGCAAGTCCTAAAAGGACGTCAGAGGAATCTTGGTCTAACAAAAATGTGAGTAAGGCACTATGCATAAGTTATTTCGGATAAACCACTTAAATCTGGCTGCATTTTTCTATTCATACCAATCTTGTAAACATGAAATTAAAAAAAAAAAAATTTAATACAATTTTTATTAAACATTGTCATACAAGCTGAATTGTAATTGGTCTCACATAGAAAATAGAAATCAATACCTGAAAAAATGCCATCTGTCTTTCTCTACTCCAAAACAAGGGATGTTTCAAAATGGCTTTTGCACATAATCTTTTTGATGGTTCAAAACATAAAAGACTTTCAATCAAATCTTTTCTTACATAAAAATCTGAAATAAAATGAATATGAATCAGTTTTTCAGTACTTTTCAATAAAAAAATCCTCAAGACTCGTTTTGTCTACATTGGTGTTCTACAACTGTTTTGATTTTTACCATAAACTTAAAACAACACTTAATGAATAAATATCATGATTTCCTAGCCAATATCAAAAATTGATATTATTTTCAAAAATTTACTATCTATACCTGTTAGCTTGGCTCATATGTGAAAGTTCACTCGGAAACTCCCACAATCAGGGTTGACAAAAACCCAGGTTTTATGAGTATTGCCCAGCCCAGTGGGAAATACTGGGAAAACCCGGGTTTTACTGGGTTTTATCAGGTAATACTGGGCAATACTGGGTAATATAAAATACTGGCCTGAATTTTAAAGAGGATTCAGTGATCAAACACAAATACAATACATTTAAGATATTTATAAACATATTTTGATTTATAAATAAGTTTACTTGTTTGAGAGTCTTATAATATTAGTATATACATTTGAGAAAGTATTATTCTAGCAACTCTGAGACAAGTGTACATGAAGACACATTAGACAAATGTTAATGGAAAAAGCCTTTCTCAATAATTCTCCTAAAAATCTATTAAATCACCCTTCTGTCTAGATTGGTCAAACTGTTAACATAAAGCAAAAGAATTCATTTTTTTTCAAATATATATAACTAATATAAAGAATTAACAATTACATGTAAGAACAAGAGTTAACACGCTGAAATGTCTTGCCTTCTTTTCTAACCATTGATATTATGTTGATAGTCCTAAATGAAAGCTTTACTACAACTATTACATAAACTTAACATGATCCAAGAAAATGAAGTCAAGGTCATATAAACCAAACGAGAAATACATGTACACCTTACAATCATTCAATAAACTAAATAAAGTTGACCTATTGCTTATAGTTTCTAAGAAACAGACTTAACCAAGAAAACTAAACATTGACCAATGAATCGTGAAAATGAGGTCAAGGTCAGATGAACCATGCCAGGCAGACATGAACAGCTTACAATCCTTCCATACAACAAATATAGCTGACCTATTGCTTATAGTTTAAGAAAAACAGACTGAAACACATAAACTTAACACTGAGCAATGAACCGTGAAAATGAGGTCAAGTTCAAATAAAACCTGCGAGACTGACATGTACATCATAGAATATTTCCATACACCAAATATAGTTGACTTATTGCATATAGTATAAGAAAAAAAACCAAAACTCAAAAATTTAACTTTGACCACTGAACCATGAAAATGAGGTCAAAGTCAGATGACACCTGCCAGTTGGACATGTACACCTTACAATCATTCCATACACCAAATATAGAAGACCTATTGCATAAAGTATAAGAAAAACGGACCAAAACACAAAAACTAAACTATAACCACTGAACCATGAAAATGAGGTCAAGGTCAGATGACACCTGCCAGCTAGACATGTACACCTTACAATCATTCCATACACCAAATATAGTAGACCTATTGCATACAGTATAAGAAAAACAGACCAAAACACAAAAACTTAACTATAACCACTGAACCATGAAAATGAGGTCAAGGTCAGATGACACCTGCCAGTTGGACATGTACACCTTACAGTCCTTCCATACACCGAATATACTAGACCTATTGCTTATAGTATCTGAGATATGGACTTGACCACCAAAACTTAACCTTGTTCACTGATCCATGAAATGAGGTCGAGGTCAAGTGAAAACTGTCTGACAGGCATGAGGACCTTGCAAGGTACGCACATACCAAATATAGTTATCCTATTACTTATAATAAGAGAGAATTTAACATTACAAAAAATCTTAACTTTTTTTTCAAGTAGTCACTGAACCATGAAAATGAGGTCATGGACATTGGACATGTGACTGACGGAAACTTCGTAACATGAGGCATCCATATACAAAGTATGAAGCATCCAGGTCTTCCACCTTCTAAAATATAAAGCTTTTAAGAAGTTAGCTAACGCCGCCGCCGCCGCCGGATCACTATCCCTATGTCGAGCTTTCTGCAACAAAAGTCGCAGGCTCGACAAAAATTACTGTTAAACAATTTATATGTACATCACTAATTAATAGGTAATTATTCAGATTAGAACACAGATATGTTTATATAACAATAATCAGCCTTTTCATTTCTATGAGTGTTACAAATGTAATGACATGACCCTATAGGGTGTTTATTTAGCAATATGATTGCATAACAATTTAAATTTACAATTCACTTAAAATTCAATAAAATGCATTTTTGTCAAAGTTTGGATTATTGAAACAATGCTTGGAAATTAACAAGGTATCCTAAAATGTGCAAATCTTGTATTCTGCCTACATTAAATTAGCGGAGAAGAGAATGAAATTGAATGTTCAATCTTCTAGAAATGACTCTCAATGGTTATCTGTATAAAATGTATATATTTAGCTATAATACTATGAAACTACAACAAGTCTTTACTATTTTGTGTTGAAATAAGCTTAAAAAATCATATTGCCCAGTATTGCCCAGTATTACCCGTTTCTGGGAGTATTGCCTAGCCGGGAAAACCTGGGTTTTCCCACCTGGGTTTTTTATGGGTGGGTAATACTTTGCCAACCATGCCCACAATGATGAGTTAGGTCCTTATTTTAATGCCAAACATTTCATGACATGTGTAAATTGGTTTAAATGTAGTATATTCTTTTGTTTGCAATAAAATATTAGAATAAACTCAACTAACAAGTAATGTCCCTTAATTTGTTATTATGAGTATAATGTTGTCAATTTTGCATTTAAATTTTCTTTGCAGAAAATGTGAAAGTACTAGACAGATGCAATCAAATCTCATATAACATAAAGCAGAAAAGAATAAGCATGAAGTTTAAGTGATATAAAAATAAGGAGATGAGGTATGATTGCCAATGACACAATGCATTTAAATTTGATTTTTAACATTTCAGGTAAACAGAAATATGGCTCGAAAACTAATGCTACCTGTCATGGGAAGACTTTGTAGACTGTAGTCTCCTTCTAAAATATTTGATTGCCTTCTCAGTGAATCACCAAATGGATGCTTTCCTCTTGTTAAAACATAATATATCACACATCCAAAAGAAAACATGTCTACTGCACATGTCTGAAAAAATAAAATGTAATGTCACATGAACATCAAAACACTTTTAAATTAAATTAATTATGCTTCGAGTAATCCCTCTCATTTGTCATGTTAATTTTGTTTGTAAAATTTGAAAATATGATGCACATACTCATACAAGTCATAACCAATGTTTTTTCATATGTGTGTATTGATTTTGTGTCATGAATTACTGTGCATATCCGAAAGGCTTTGTATCTGCTGATATAAAAGGTAGACAAAATATATAATTTACAGCAGAATCAATGACCTCTAATCTTTTGGTACACACAACTTGGTTATTTCCCTTAAATATCATGTTTTCAACATTTTTAGAAATTATTCATTCATCTAACAAATAAATTTCAATGTTCTCTACAAAACACATGATAAATAATCAAGTGACCATGGAAATAATTTTCAGAACAAATTACTTATTAACAGTTATTATAATGGGAGTTGATCAAATTCATACTTTTTTAAACCAGTGTGTCTTATAACAAGGTTCTCAAAATTGCCCATGTATTTTATCAACAGGGAAATAAATCCCTGGATTTGGATGATAGGTATAATTTTTTTATTACAACAGCACTTGCTTCACACTAGCAACTTTTCACTGGCAATGAGCTAAAATATTGTACTAGTTAATTTGACAGTTTATGGAGATGAATACAAACTGCAATTAGGTAAAAAATTTGAACAAATTGGTATTGTGAAATGATAAAGCCTTCGATATAGGCACAGTAATGCACAATATACTTTTTTTTCTAGAAGTCCCATCAACAGATACAGAAAAGTTGCCTACACAAGCTTATCTACATGAATCTTTCACAAAATTGATAAAGAGCAAATTCTGAATAGGATTTTGTAATGTGTCCTAGTGATCAGATAAAGTTGTTGTAAAGTTGTAGTAAATTAATGAAGACCATATGCTCTCCACGTTTTGTTCATTTGTAGATGCAGCTATTCACTGTCTCATTGACATATAAATGTAATGTACAAGCAAATGTTACATACTGTTCTTTTATCTTCATCTAGCATTTCTGGTGCTATCCATCCTTCTGTTCCTGCTGCCCCTGACCTTCGTGAAAATGAGATTCTTCCTGCGGTTAACTTTTTACATAAACCAAAATCTGATATAAGAGCTTTTACATTGCCTCCTGTATCAGGCTGTGAAATGAGTACATTGTGTGGTTTTATATCTCGATGAACTGTAAGCAGATAGTATATCTAATATAAATATCAAATGGTATAAAATGCATACAATACTGTCAGATAGTATGACCATAATTTTAAACTATCTTTTGAAATTTTCATTTGATAAGTTTTGTAAATGTATTAACTAAGACTTAGGTTGCAACTCCTTGCAGCAAAGTTAACCATAAAGGATATTGGCTTCTAGTTTAGACTTTTTTTTTGACAAGAAGCAAGTGGTTCAAAACTGTCATGATTTGAATATACAGTTTTATCAAATTTATCAGGTAAACAATTTTGCTATTGTACTGAAACTATGGTTACAACTTTCTAAGGCCTAGATATTTTGCTGTCCTGTTTAGACCCTTTTTAATTTTGGTACCCCCACTAGCTATAAAACCAGGTTTAACCCACAATTTTCTTCAGAAAATGTCTGTTAAAAGTCAGGAATAGGACAGTTGTTTTCCATTCATTCCGTTGGCGTAGGTTGATTAAGTTCAGAGATTGATTTTGTCAGGTATTATGGACTTCTCCTTTTCCCCTTTTTTAAATTTACCCTGGAGTTTGTTACTTTTGTCAATATCTTTTTAATATTTTTTATATATAATTGCCTTTCTAAACTTTTGGCTTCAACTGTATCTGTTATGTGCACTGAAATTAGTAACTCACTAATGCCTTTTCATTTAGTTTTAAGCTTTTTTATAAGTTTCATTTTTCATTGGTTTACTGTTCATCTGTCTTGTTTTTTAAATGCTTTGTGAATTGTCCTTTGGGATTTTATTTCAAATTTTATTTGTAGTGCAATTGACTTGGTATAATTCTTCCGATTTTTCCAACGGTTAAAAAAAACCAAACTTATCATGAAACTTTTATGAATCTATACTACAAGCATCCTTGAGAACAGTGAGTATGTATAGAGACTGTTTAAGTGAATGCCAAACACGTGTACAAAATATGATGTCATAACAATGCTAATTTTATAAACAAATTATTTTTACATATTTAGTAAAATTAAAGTACTTATATATTCACTGGATGAATACCAGTTACTGGCTCACTAATGCACATTTTACTCAGTTTTTCAACAATTCAGATTTCCTCCTTCAACAGGATATAACCCTTCTGCATCTACCATACCATAACACGTAAAAACTATTTTTAGATTATATACTTACCAATTCCCAGAGAATGTAAATGAGCTATTCCTGATGCAGCTTCATGTAACAGTTGAAGGGAATCAAATGTTCTGGAATAAGGACTTTTTCCTTCAACATAATCCTGTAGTGTAGCTACACATAACTCTAAGGCAATGTATCTGAACTGACTATCTGATTCCTGCACAAAATATACAAAGTGTCAGCAATTACTTTTGATAGTATTAAAACATATGCAACATCTACAAAACAAAACCAAAACAAAAAATATATTTAATATATTGTCCCTTATATGTCAATATACTAGTATTGAACTTATTCTTTTTATGTCTATTCTGAAATGTCTTTAAATTTATGTTCTATATCACTATTTGCTACTCAACTTTTAAAAGTTGTGGGGGATGGTTCAAATTTCACAACATTTTAGTGTGGTTATTTTTATATAAAGAAATTCCTAGTTGTTAATGCCATTGTGGTCATCACTGGAAAAAAAACATATGTCTCACCATGCATGACTTTCATGAAATGGAGATACAATGAGACACATATATTTCACCCTACATATGAAGATCTGGATGCAGAAAGTAGCATTTAACATGGAAATAGTGTACAAAAATGGCCTTTCCTTTCTTGGGACTTGATGAGCTTATTAATCAATGTTTATTTTAAATTTTTGAGTACAACTTTACACCTACCATACAAAAATATCTAATAACATGTGGATGTTGGTCAGATTCTCTCAACAGCTCTACTTCTCTGTCAGCAAATGTAAAACATTCTGGTAACAACCTCTTCACAGCACAAGGTCTGTTCTCAAATCTTCCCCTGAAATTTTTGTAAATTTTTCTAAACATATTTGCAAATAATCACACTTCTTTATCAGAATATACATATTGAGAATCATAGTAGTGGGTGTCTATATTATAAATTAGAGAATGGAAAGGAAAAATTCAGCAATTTTTCCATTTGTAAAGGGGCATAACTCTAGAATGGTTAAAGTGATGCCACCAAACTTGATCTGTGTTTTGTGGTAATAAGCATTGTGTATAATTTTTATAACATTTGGTTGAGGCAAACTAAAGTTAGAGAACGGAAACCAACTATGGGACGTACGTATGTACAGACGTACTTAGAGATGTATGTAAAGACGTACAGACGGACAAGGGTAAAACTTAATGCCCCCTCCGTTACGGCGGGGGCATAAAAATAAAATATAAGTTTGGGAAATTTTATGTATAAATGAGAGATATTCAGTATGTCAATGAGGTAGCACTCTAACAACATGCTCCCTACTTGGGTCAGGTATAACATGTGGCAGGTTAAAATTATTTTGAAGCAATTATAATAAAATACTTATTATTGTAAATATTTCAGCTCATTTTAAACAAATCATCAATTATAACAGTCTGAAGATGCATAATGAATATCTAAGCATGCACTAGCACTAAAAGGTATACATGACTGATTTCATAATTTCCCTTCAGCTGCCAAATATCTGTAAAAATGAAATCATTCTAAACTTGCAATTATTCCCATATTATTTGCATTGTGCCATTCAGTCATGGGAAACAAACATACCAAGTTACAGTTACATAGAGATTTTTTTACACGAATTCAATAAAAGCATAATTTATAGTAGATAGATTATAATGTGTATATCTGACTTACTTATAAACGAATGTTCCTTCACAACCATGGCCAAGTACTGCCTTAGGATTATAAATTACCTTTCCAACTTGCACATGACCCTCTGGTACAGCTGGAAATATATTATTACATTAATATTTATTATTGTCTACAAATAAAAAAAGTAAAACTAAACTCTGAACTCATTAAAAATCGTAAGAACTTTCACTTTTTGTTTCAATTATCTAAAACAACATCTTTTCCTACATCTGTAATTAATATGCAATACACTAACTGTCATATTTATCAAAAGAAAAACTTCACATTTTGTGTACTTGTCTGAAGGGTCATCTATTCCGTCACCAGTAATATTGTGAATACACTTATCACATATAAATCCGAAGAACTTCACAACCTTAATTAATGTGCAATAAACTTACCATCGTACAAATCAGAAGACGAACTTCCACTTTTACGCATTGATGTCTGAGCAGATTTTTGCTCTTGACTCATTAATTTTTGTTCTTCTAATTGTTTCTGAAGTAATATCTTTATAGACTGTTCTGTTCTCTGCAAAGATAAGTTTTAATACTCAAAATCTTTGATATTCAAAAGATTATTAACAAATTAAGCATGACAGACAGATTATACAGAATTTTATCTGTCCGTCTACCCACCGATACATTCCTACATTGTAGAATATACTTTCAAATTTTGTTTAATTAAATCATTGTAAACATATGACAGTGACTTACATACATAACTGCTTTGAAAAAAGCACTTTTTCAAGGACTGATTTCAAACATTTTTAAAAAATCTATCTTTCTTCTCTCTTTCTCATCTTTTAGTACAAAATTTTACACTGTAAAATACTACCCTAAAAATGGTCATACCATTTAAAAAGGAGTTTTGACCCAATGTTTTGTAGAACACACTGGGAACTTACCCTTGTAAAAAGATAAAATGCCATGAGAACAGTGATAACCAGGACTGCAGCTGAACTAATAACCTTGACATCAACATACTGATATATCCCATGGTCCGCTGTTGTTGTAATATTAGGTTTGACAGATTCTGGAACAGGATCAATATTTGGAAAGATAACATTATTTGATTTGTCAGTTATTGCTAGTGCAGGTGACATTTTGTTGCTTGATTCTTCTGGAATCTCATGATGACCTAGAAAAGAATAATATTTTTTTAATTTTTGGTCATCCATTCATATAAAAGTTCAAGTTATCCTAAATAAGAATGAACATATGTACTAATCTTCAAGTTGATGCGACCACAACCTTCAACCAAAACTTTAACTGGATACATTCCCACATCATAATGAACATAATAAAAATTAAGAGTAGTATGATTGCCAATGAGACAACTATCCACTAGAGACCAAGTTTAAAACTTTAACCTGATTCAGGACAGGCGAACTGAAGGACAAACAGACAGACACACAGATAAGGAATAATAATGCCAATCTACTATCATAGGCAAAACATATATTTAATCAAAATTCAGTAACTCCCTGCTTTACTTAAATCAATTAACTGATATTAAATAAATTTAAAAAAAAAGGGATAAGGCAAATAAAATTCTTCCTCAAATACCAAAGATTTGATGTTATTTATATCTCTTAGCTACAAATTCTACAAAAACACAGTTCAAGATAAAAGCAAACCTATAATAATTCATCAGATGAAACCATGATTGAAGACATAAGTAATTAAATGACTCTTGTTACAGTAGTAACTTATAATATAACTATGGTTAAAGCAGGTAATGTTAATCCATAAAATTGAGAATGGAAATGGGGAATGTGTCAAAGAGACAACAACCCGACCACAGAACAGACAACAGCAGAAGGCCACCAACAGGTCTTCAATGCAGCGAGAAATATCTTATATATAATATATTATGTATTAATATCTTATCTAGAACCCTTTCTGTGTACCAATGTCTCAGCAGGCATTAGATCTCAATAATGAAACTTTCTGGCATTTTAATCCTTGTAAGAAAAAAGTAAAGCTGACATTTGTGTTAACTTCTTACCTAACATCATGTAAGAGTGTTCTCTACGTTTGGTTGAGGCTGTAGAAGTTTCCTCACGACTGGACCCTTTCTTTGGAGGTAACTTTGGTCCCTCAAGCAGTAATGGTCCTTGATTTTTTGGCTGAAATGTGTAATGAAACATGTAGAGCATGTATTTAGATGTTCTCTAGTTTTGATTTTGTATTACTGCCAAAAGTCCTCAACCTAGTTTATATTTTCTTGGAACTGGTCAATGCAATCCAAATATAATTCTGTCAAGAGCTATTAAAACAAACAATTAAATTTTCATTGAAAAAACATTAAATGATCAATTATTACAATAAAACATGAAATATGGTATAGACATATTTATCAACATCTCAATTTTGATGCATATTCTTTACCAAAACCACTAAAGTTTGTAAATCATGCTCTGCCAAAAACAGTTCTCTTCATGTAAGTTCAAACAATTCAGAGTTTATCTATTTGAGTAAATATCCAGCTGGATTTTTTCAATTTAAAACTAGAATATAAGAACAGTTTACATAAGTTTTTATGCCATTAAAAGCTATCCATCTTACAATTTAAGATTTCCATGTGATAAACTTATTTACACAGAACTTACAGAGTGTTTCAACAGATACAAAGTATCAAATTAAAGACAAAAAGTCAATTAACACTTGATGTGGTATGTATAACTAATTTGGATATTCATTTTGCACCCTCATAAATTATATAAATTTAATAGAAGATGTGAGCACTACTGGACATCTTTACTCCCCTAACCCATACATGTTTTATTGAAATTCTAAAGTGAATGTTTGTATGAAAATACAGGTTTATTGTTACTTTCAGGACATCCTGTCACCTCTAATTATAAGAATTCTGCCTGTTAACCTTGTTCTCATGTTCCTATTTCCTATGTTTTAAAAAACCATGTTCTAAAAATGTGTTCAGTTCCTTAACACTAATACAAATATACACGAACTTTCGTGATGAATATTTTTCAAATAATAAACTATCCAGGGGACATAATTTATAACTTACTGCAACTGCTACAGTTGTCTCATCCACTAGAGATCCTAAGGCATAAAATCCATGTTCATATTCACCAACATATAATGTAGGGCTGAAAAATAATACTCACATTATCTAATAATCTTCACTATAAGTTACAATGTTACTTCTATGTACAAAAATGTGGAATTCATGCGTTGAAAATTAAAATAATATCAATTGTTCTAGAGAATCTGTCACAAGACATGAGCAGTTATACTTAACGTATCTTATTGTCGAAATAATATATGACAAAAGGATCTGACACAAGTTAATACAGCTTAGAATTGTCATCTCCATTAATCTATTATTTATATTTTATAGTTGTATTTGAATAAGAAAGAGATTTTACCCTCACATTTTTTCTTTCTTATAATTTTCCTACTTTAAGAAAAAAATGTTGGTTTGTTAACTTTTAAATTTATGTTTATGATCTTGCATATTTCAAAATTATGGAAAATACTTTTCTAAAGGTATATAAGTTAGCTGCTTTGGCATAAATACAAATCCATGATCACAACTCACTAAAATACTTCCTGATCTCCATGTTTTAAAAATTTTTCCTTCCATAACCTAGAGGTCAGTTTCCCTGTTAAATGTTCCAATGTCTCAGGAGCAAATGTATAGAAAGGTATTTTCTGAAGACCATCTGGAGTTAATGTATACATAGCAACTACTGGAGAGTTGTAGTTATTTAACCACTTGATTTCACCTGTAAAGAGAAAAATAAAATGCAGTTACACAAGTGTAATATGTGTGGGTCTTTTCACAACATATAGAAGTTTATATGTAGTTTTTTTTTTAGAGTTTACTGAAAATAAGGATATTTTTGCAATGATTTAATTTCTTCTATTAGTGACAGGAATAGAATCACATTATTTAGAAATGGTATTTTAAATTCTGATCACATTATCATAGAGCAGCAGTTCCTGAAATCACTTTAATTTATCATCCCTTATATTTAACAGATAATAAACAATGTGTACCCGGTATGTATTTTAAGAACATCCATGTAATCATTATATCTTATTGTATTAGTAGATGTTTTTACACAGAAAAGGACAAAAGATTTGTTTCCTTACAATCACACGACTGTTAAAGAGGAAGTGTTGTAAGTGTCCTATTTGGCCACAAATATTAAGTCCATTATTTTAAGATGAAAAGTTGCTGCATATATATATATATATATATGTGTGAGAAAGTGAAATACATGTCAAAGCACTGACAGAAACACCCAAAATAATTAATAAAATTAAGATTTTGGTGAAAGTTGATGAAATTATCTGGATTTCAACCATATTTAGTCAAAAAAAAAATGAGCATAGGGTTCGACAAATATCCAAAAAGATCTGATAAAAAAAAATTCTTTTGAGACCAACTAAAGTGTCAATGGTTTTTATGTAAATTTACCAGTTTTAGAATCCAAGGTAACACTCATTCCATTTGAACTGGATGATAGGTGTTTGTAATCTGAAAATATATAAAACTTTAATGGTAATCATGGTAATAAAAAGTGTATAAACATAAAATTATTATCAAATATATATATATATAGATGTGAATATTTATCAAAATATCATGTACTTTGCTTGAATGTGTATAAGTTTCATTCATAATGTCAGCGAATTGACCAAACTTAGATTTATTTTTGAAATATGTCATTTTCACATGATATACATTACAATTGGCTAAAAATTGACTGTATTATGTTTCGTCATACAGGACTTCTTTTACCTTAAAATTGAGTAGAGTGATTTATCATACTGGCTATATTTATGTAAAGCTGGTATACATGGGCAACAAACAAGTTGTCACCATCACTATAATCTCATGTTATGTTCATATCACTTGATAAACAAAGTAAGTAACATAAATCATAATAATAACTCTAATTTTGCATCATTCATGTAAATGTTATTTTTAGTCCATTGTCTCCATTGGTATTTAAGATTCTGTTTAAAGATTATACAGTGATAACAGTAAGGAGGTAATCATTATTTTTCATCACTGACAACATGACCTGTGACCTTAAGATGTTCATTCTTGTTGGACTTGTGTTTTTTGGTTGCTGTATCATTTAAGTTTACTCTAAATCTTTTTTATTCATTTAATAATTGGTGACGAAGATGGTAATTTCAAATAGAAGCTAACTTTTCATGAGTGAGTGAGAAATTTAACATTTGCAAGAATTTTTCTTCATGTCTTCAAAATTGGCAACATATGTCATATTTTTAAAACAAAGAGGGGCCCAATCACACCCATTGTACGTCTACTTCTCTTAGCTATTTTGACCATCTTTTTATAATATTAAGCTACACTCATAAGTTTTCAGCATTTTACTTTTGGTCACAATGTGTATTGTATAAATAACAGATGACATTATGTTGTTTAGTAAATAATGCGAGTACACATAAGTTATAAAATCAGTTGATCTGTGATAACAAGACTGAATTTCTTTCTTATAAAAATCTTGGGAGAAATGAAAGCTTGAGAGCAAAAATGCAATGCAATTTCCAATTTGATTAATATTTCCAAGGGGGATAACTCTTTCAAAATAATTGATCAGTACTGACTTTTGAACTTGTCAAAGACATTGCTGTTAAAAACCTATGATATAGGTTTCATAAAAATCTGACAAGAAATGTACACATGTGAGCGCTAATATAACCAGAAGGACAGACACATGCTGCAGTATTTCTATGTCCCCCACAACACGTAGCACGGGGACAATAATGTTACCAGTATCAGTACATACCATAATCTTTACTATCCTTGTTTGCCACGTTTGTAGAATAATCTGTAAATGTGGCATTCCACCTGTAAAGAAAAAAAATCATAGTGTTGAGAAAAACTCACTTGATCAAGTATGCTGAAAGAATAAGAAATAAATATTTAAGCTGAATCATAAAAGAAAACATTAATTAGTTTGGTTTAAACACAGCAGGTACTTCATTTGCTAAAAACAAAATGGATAAGATTTTGACCTGTGATAAATTGTTAATGCTACTGTGAAACCTTAACAAGACAGAAAAAAAGAACTGATGCAACATTTTTGGTTCCAAGTTATCCCATGACTGCTTATAAGAGTTTTTGCTTTTTAAGTGTCTAATTTAATTATTAGTTAATTATAACTATTAACTTGTATATGATAAAGCAATGCCATCTATTGAATTGGCATGCCACTCATGTGACTGACAAACATCTATTTCAGGAGATCTTTTGAAAAACAAAAGTAGTCCCTTTTACACTTACATCTTACAAAAGTATCTACAAATCATAAATGATAAAGAAAGTAAAATGGAACTAGCAGGAAGTTTATAAACACTGATAGATGCCATTATTTTGTCTCAATCAATTGAAAAGTACGATGCAAGGAATTATTTTTCGTTTCATTGTAAGGAAAATACAATGAAAACTGTGACATGACACTGGAAGTGACTGTATATGCATATTTTTTCTTACTTTGTTAGATTCTTTAATCTATCTGAGGACAGTTGTTTTTCATTTGTTCTTTCTACAACTTTAATTTTTCGCAATTCATTCTCTTATATTTCTCTTTTTCTATCACAGTTAAAATTAGACACATACATCAATCAATTGCAATCATGTTCACGATCAATTTCAAGTGATTTTTTGGTGTCACCACTTTCAGTATTTTCAGAAAGTTTTTATTCTGTCATTCATTTTTCTAACTTTTTTTTCAAAAAAAGTTCAAAACCCAATGATAAATCATCATTAGTACTTTAATGCTATATTTAAATAGTAAACAAACTCTAATTATGAATTATTTTTTTAAAAAATGACAAATTCTACGCTGAACTTATCCTTACCTTTTATGTCCAGTTTTACTATCAAACATAGTAATTGTATACTCTGAAACAGATTAAAATAACAATTTCATCTTTATTCATACTGAAATAGAGTTAACTGTATACAATGTACCAGGAAATTTTCCAACCATGTTAATTTTGCTATCTGCTTACATCCATACTTCGACTGTTTTTAGTTAACATCTTCTCATTTTATTTGCAAAACATTTTTGTGCAGTTTATTTTCACAGAATTATAAGATAAGGTATTAATTTGATCATACATTTCTCCTAAGCCAATACTACTCTTGTAAATTTTATATGAAGAAAGGTCTCAATTGAACTATCAAAAAGATATTTTGAAATTGTAGCACCTTAAGCTAATAAACAAAAACCCCTAAAAATTCATGTTTACCTGCATTTTATTAGGTTAAAAGGGAAATAATTGAGAGCCATATCTAGCTTTTAATATCACTGAACAATGAATTTTTATAAATCTTTTCAAAAGTATCTTTTATAGCGACTGAAGAAAACAAAAGCAGATCTAACTAACATGCCATAGTTAACATATTTAATCAAAAAGGATCTATTAATCACATCAAAAAAGAAAATAAGAGGTACAAATTGCCATTATGTAAGAAATTTCCAATATCAAAGAAAACAGGTTAGTGGTTGAGGTGGAAATTCCTTTTTGTGTGCATGGCAAAGTCCATTTCTTGACATGGGGACACACAAAAATAAATTTGAAAAAAAAAACCAAAAAAAACCATAGAAGTGCACATTAGATACTTAAGATTTCACTGAAATCCAGCCACTGCTTTACAAAACGTGGATACAACATGCTGATGGACATATAAATGGATTAAAGAAGATTGTTTACCTTTGAATTATTTCTCTTAAAAATAATTAATTTTATATTTATTGTGGTGAACTGTTTATTTTATATTTATTGTGGTGAACTTCAATTTATATTTATTGTGGTGAACTGTTTATTTTATATTTATTGTGAACTGTTTATTTTATATTTATTGTGAACTGTTTATTTTGTATTTATTGTGGTGAACAGTTTATTTATATTTATTGTGGTGAACTGTTTATTTTGTATTTATTGTGGTGAACAGTTTATTTTGTATTTATTGTGGTGAACAGTTTATTTTATATTTATTGTGATGAACTGTTTATTTTGTATTTATTGTGGTGAACTGTTTATTTTATATTTATTGTGGTGAACTGTTTATTTTGTATTTATTGTGATGAACTGTTTATTTTATATTTATTGTGGTATCATCTATTATATCTTACCTGATCTTCCAATATACATGACATTTTCAGCATCAGATGGACAGACTTTCTGTGTACCATCCATAGATAGTGTTCGAATCTTTTCTCCTGTGACAGGGTCTACAGCTATCCATACATCCTTTTTGTGTCCTAAATAAATAAAAAGAAATTTAGTTTGTCTTATTCTTTTATATCTCTTTTCGACTTTTGTTAAAGTTAAAAATAACTATTCTATGTGTTGTCTCTTGAATTTATCTTATTATTAATCATTTCACTGACTATATTAAATGAAATGTGAGACTCTGTGTGCTTCACACTCATATTTATAAATTGAAACATGTTTTGAGTAGCTTTCACTTGTACACTGAGTGAACTTATGATGTCATCACAAGTTTAAATTTTAATTGTGAATAATACGAATATAAAAAAATAACCAGCTAATTATAATAGTTCATAGGTGAATGATTTACAAATCAATCTGGACAAAATTCTTGACCTCATATTCTTGAGAGTGCAAACATCTTCTAGCACCGTCATACTAATTTTTAGTACATTTTTTATTAAATAAGAAATACAGTAATAGTTTCATTTTTTTCCTTTGCCAAGGATTGGTGTTTAAAAAATATGTTTGCAGATTTTCACTTTTTCTTATAATTTAAGTAGCCATATTTATTTTCTAGTAACTATATTCATTTGAAATGTTCATGTAATAGTTTTAATACCTGTATACAATATTCCTTCGTTACTTTTACAAGGTGATGCTGAAACAAGCTGTGGTATTGTAAATGGTAATTTCTTTATCCCATTCATGCCATCTCCTAATGCATACAAACTTCCATCTTTTGGGTCAGGTAAGAAACTAAGTTTCCTTAAAAATTATTAACAGTAAGTCAGGAGCCTGTAATTCAGTGGTTGTCATTTGCTGCTGTATATTGTGTTTGTTTTTCTTTCATTGTTTTGTACATAAATCGGGACTCTCTTCACAAAAAAATATTATGATTAAAATTGATCGTAAGTTATACTGAAATGTGTATGACTTTATTTTTACTCTTAAGATTTTTTGTGAAAAGAGCTGCAGGCCATTAGTTTACTTGTTTGAATTGTTTTACATCTGTCATTTTATAGCTTACTAAGCGGTATAGGTTTTCTTCATTGTTGAAGGCTGTACAGTGACCTAAAGTTAACTTCTATGTCATTTGGTCTCTGGTGGTGAGTCTTCTCATAGGAAATCATACCACATCTTGATTATTTTTATATATGCTGATTCACTAAAATATGATAAATTCTGTATATTTTTTTGGGAAAACTTTTGTATTATTTACACCAATGAGGTCATAAGCCAGATTGGATGTATCTAATTAAAACCAAGATATTACATGTATTATTGTAAATGCAAAATGATAGATTTCAATAGTTAACATGCTTAAGGGGGTGTCAGCAATTTGACCTTTTGTAAATGCAAAACAATGACAAATACCTGATATCAGATTACATTTAATGCAATCAAAAGATACAAATCCCCAAAGAAGAAGTTTCTAAATTTAAGCAGTTTTGACTGTATAAGTTTCACTTACCCTGCTGTGACCTCAACTGGCACTTTTATAACTGGTTCTGTAATAAAAAAAAAAAAAGTTTAAAACTAAATAAAATGCTATGCCTGGCGCAGCTTGATATGACCGCAGAGGGTGAACCCTGAACAATTGGGGCAAGTATGGACACTACATTCAAGCTTGATACAGCTCTGAATTTGGATTGTGATTAAATATTTGGCACAGCATAGGTTTCTGACAAAGAATGAATGTGGTCAAAGAACTGAATTTGTAAAAACATCAATTCAGAGAAATGATGTTCCTCAATCTCTGGAAAGTAATTTTTCCTACAAACTTGTATCTTGGAAACAGATACTCCATTACAACAATTCTAAGTTTTTTGATAGATTTCATACATAAGTCAAAGAAATCAAGAATTCTGTCATATTAGTTTTTAATCATTTTGTTTCAAATATTTACTTCACAATATCTTTAATATGCATAGAAATTTTAACATGATTTATTTTATCAAGATATAAATTGTAGAAAAATTAAAATGGCTAAATTACTATTGTCAAATTTTACAAGTTTAAAATTAATGTCAATTGTGAATATCGTGAAAATCAGACATGTGATAAATCTGACCTCTACATTGTAACATATGGTACATAACTACATATATACAGTCAAACCTGTAGATACATTTTTGTAGATCCCTACGTTGTAACATAACCCACCATTTTTTCTTAAAATGTCCTGTACCAAGTCAAGAAAATGGCCATTGTTATATTATAGTTCGTTTCTGTATGTGTTGCATTTTAGTGTTGTGTTTCTGTTGTGTCGTTGTTCTCCTCTTATATTTGATGTGTTTCCCTCAGTTTTAGTTTGTAACCCGGATTTGTTTTTTTCTCAATCGATTTATGAATTTTGAATAGCGGTATACTACTGTTGCCTTTATATATGGTACATATATACAGTCAAACCTGTAGATAAAGGTCACCCTTGGGAACAGAGAAAACTGACATTATAAGGTATAGAACCACAAATTCAGGCCCTGTTAGAAAGAACATGCAAGAAAGTAGTACATATTTTAGTTCCTACGCATAGCTGAAACTATGCCAATAAATAATTATTATAAAATATTGGGTTAATGAACCAGTGCACGCTAATATGCAATTAAATGTATGTTGAAATTTTCAGCACAAGTCAGGATAAGGTATAGTTTTGACATGAAATGACTGTCACTTAATTTGAACTTAACACAAAATAGCTATGAATGCTTGAAATTGGAGAATTTATTTTAGAAAGCAATGGGGCTATGAATTAGTCATTTAATTCCTATTAGAGACATAACCTTTCATTGAAGTTTAAATGCATAGATATCACTACAGTGGGACTGTAAGTGGGTGACCAAACAAGACAGGCTTACACATTTTATATCTTATATATTGTACCTTCTTGTAATGTCCACTGTGTTTTTCCTGTTGTTTTACTGACAGCATGCAATGTACCATCAAGTGTAGAAACAAACAACAATGAATCATGTAAGGATAAAAAATTGGCCTGTAAAATAACAATAGTAACAAAATATGTTATTGTTTAACAGTATCTAAATAAAAAAATATCTTAAACCACAAATAAAACAAGTGCATTGCACAACCAATTAAGTCTCCTATAATAATTCCACAGAATTTCAATGCATTTTCCCATTGCTCATCTATTTTATCTATTTTGTGAAAATATGCTAATGTAAATGGTATTTGTTTAATGTTAAGAAAGCAATGCATATGATTTTTAAGACAAAGTATATCATGTATATGAAGATTTACAGTGTGCCCAAATTTTATTTATTTGGGAATTTATTAGAATTTGTTGATTAATTTCAAATATCTAGGACAGATAGTTCAAAATGATTTGAATGATTATTTAAGGGCATAAAAAGACAATATCAATCAACGTGTATGCAGGAAAGATAATATGCTGAAGCAAAAAATTGAACAAATGTTCTACAGGTGTTAAGATCCAACTTTTTCCATCTCATTCATTGTATGACTGTCTTTTGTGTATCTTTATGATCTAAATGTAAGTCTGCCTCTTTAAATAAAATGTGAGTAATGTATAATTATGCTTTCAGAATAATAATGGGATATGAATATAGATTTTTACAGGTAACATGTTTGTCCTGAATGAAGTTATGTCTTTCAAGGAAGTTCTGAAAAAGTCAATGTTTAGTTTGTTTATTAGCTCGAATTTATCTGATTATCATTTGGATAATACAATTCTCAGCAGTGATTTATTGTATTCTTCAACATTGTTAAAGAGTATGGTGCAATCAGTTATATTTAAATTATTAACTATTAGTCAGGGGTACTACTTGTACAAGTTATTTTTATTTACTCGAAGAAGTAAATATTAATATACTTATAGAAGTAAATGTGTAAGATATTTAAACAAGTGTATTTTATTTTCTTGTAAAGGTAAATTATTATAATGGCTTAGTTATGTCCCTTAGACATTAAGATTTTTTTACTTATACAAGTAAAAAATTCATATTTTCTTCTTTTCTTGAATTTCTCAGGACTTCTTTGCTCTTGAAATTTTAATTGTCTGTCCTTTGCAGATGTCTTTAATAATCATTTAAGTGTAATTTCATGGACAATGAAAATCTCATTTGTCTGTTATCTTCAAAACACTGCTCATTTATAAGCCTCCAAGGGGCAATTTTTGAAGGCCTTGCGCAATTACTGAAGATCTTTGCGACATTAGTTTCTTTGTTGAATTAATGAGATAAAACCAGGGCTCACGCTAGCAGGCGTTGAACTCTATTAAAAAATTATGAGCTAACCAGAGAAAAATTGTTTAAGGCGTGTTTTTACATCCCAAAACTAGAGAATTTTAGGAATTGTAAAAAAAATTACTTATGCAAGTAAATTTTTTGAGAAAATTAAGGGGAGATTATTCAAACCTTATAAGAAAATATGAACATAACAAATTTACTTATATAAGTATATTATTATTTACTTGAAGTAAATAAAAATAACTTGTATAAGTAGTACCCCTGACTGACTATCATATAAATCACGATATAAATTAATACTGTAAATATTTTAACATTTTATCTTGTTAAGACAAATCATTTTCTGTCATGTATATATGTATGGACCTTTTGAGTATGAAATAAAGAATATCTAATCTTATATTATAACTTGCATTAATTTTATGCAGAATCAAATGATTATCATTTATATTAAAACTCTACCACAAGTACATGTATGATTCTCAAAATCATTGATTTTCTGCCATTTTAGTCAGTAGAAAAGCAGTATCATAAATCTGATTTCCTTCATTATTTATAATCAACTTGAAACTTCCAGTTTAACTTATCTTTTTAAAAGCAAAGGCACCATAATCGATTCCTCAGGGATTCACAATTATAAGCTTCTGCATTCCATAAATTATTCTTAAACTGGAAGGAAATTTCATACAGTAATGCAGCATAACTGTTGATAAAGATTTGTACAGTTAAAAAAAATTAATCTGGACTTTCAAGTCCTCAACAAAAAGACTGATTTTGCATGAAAAATTTCTGGATCAATGCTGTGGACCGCAGATGACCCAGAGAGTGGATTTATTTATAGTCCCTTGGGCAATGAAATAGACAGGGCTGGCAAGCACCTGCAAACAACATGGAAATGAACCAGACAGGAATTTACATGGGCAATCTCAGGAGAAATACTTACAAAACTAATAGTAATATTAACCGTAACAATTTTCCAGAAATAAATAATGTAAAGAAGTACCTACAAAGACTTGATCATACCATGTATGATCTTTTGCTTATCTACATGTATGTGCAATACACTTTTATTTCCATGGTTTAGTATTTGTTTAATTTATATGCTCGGTGTTAATTTTAACAGTGCTTATTAATTTGCTTTATGTCTGTATACACCTGATCGCTATTTGTGCGCCATTACTGGACATCACAAAGGTTCATGTAAAATTTTGATGTCACAAAAGAAAACGTCCGACGCCACAATGGAAAAGTGATTGTTGTATGACGTCAATAGTTCAAGTGTCACAGATTTTCGGGTCAAGCGTCGCAGATTCCCAAATAGTGATAGAGTACTATTGTCTTGTTTAATAATGCTTGCATTGTACAATGTTGTAGGTATCTGTTAGCATGTGCATGTATGGTAAACGTCTATCATGTTTAGGTGGCTAAAAAGATCGACAGAGCTTCTGTTATATGTTCAGTAATGCACCAACTTTAAGGTACACTTTTGTACTTATATGCTATTGGTTACAGTTATGGATGAGATCAATGTGGATGAAGTAGGTTCAGAATAATTTCATCATTTTTTCAGCCTCCTGTCATTACCTTGCAAACAGGCGTTAACACAGTAATTTGTAGACAATATAGGAGAAGTATTGTGCTAATTTTCGACATGGTTTCTCATTTCATAAACTTTAACTCATATTCTAAGGGTAAACAAAGCGTGGCATAGTGGGGAAACCCTCAATGTTTTCATTCTTCAGCTTTTCTTGTTAATGAAAGGAAACGTCCAAGAGCTTCGAAAGGATAGTCCATTTGATTAGTTTTGTTGTTCTACAGTTAATAATTATTCTAGGCACGTATTATATTTTAAATATTTTTGTTTAAATGATCTGCTACTAAGACTTATTATTTCCTTCTTTTATATCTAATAAAAGTTTTGTTTTGCGACGAAACGATTTCTGATTGGCCAGATAAATTCGCTGCTTTAAAACCGGAAAAGAAGAAAAACATCGGAACTTCTTTTGACTCTTCCAAGGAAACAATGACCCTTTGCAAAGGAAAACTTTTATTCCAATACTTTTTGAATAACCACATTAATCATGCAAGATATTTTTCGTTAGTATTTTTAAAATATAGAAAATTGACTTAACTGTCTTAAACAAAAATATTTCGTTTGTAGAAAAATTATTGTCATGCAAAGACATGACATTAGCTATTATGCTAACTCAGTAACTGGCTACACTCTGTTTCATATATATATACTTTTTTACTTACTAAGGCATAGACAAGAATTCCCTGCTCTTCAAAATAAGCATTTAAATATAGTGAAATTGTACTCGATCCCGTTTTTTTGTCTCTCCTATACGAAAGATTTTGATTGGCAGACATAGGGATTTACTATCCAGCAATGACAGCGGCATAAACTATTTGTATAAAGCTTTATTTTCTTAGTCAAGAGGATAAATGATGCTTCAAACCTAATATACCTCATTTTCATGGTTCATCAACTGCTTAAAAAAAATGTTTAGTTTTTTTGTTATGTAAATTCTTATTTATTATTAGTAATAGAATAACTATATAAGGTATATGGGTTCCCTGCAAGGCCTTAATGACTGTCAGACATGATTTAGCAGACATGGACCTCATTTCATAGATCAGTGATCAAGGGTAAAGTTATGTGGTTAGGTCCATTTCTCAGATACTATAAGCAGTAGATCAACTATATTTGGAACGGAATGATTGTAAGGTGAACATGTCAGTCTGATGCTGACGGTGACCTCATTTTCATGGTTCATTGGTCGATATTAAGTTTGTGCGTTTTAGCCTGTTTTTGAAATAGATAATAAGCAGCAGATCAACTATATTTGGTGTATGGAATGATTGTAAGGTGTACATTGTACATGCCAGTCTAACAGGTTTCTTCTGACCATAATGTCATTTTCATGATTCATTGGTCAATGTTAAGTTTTTGTGTTTTGTAATGTTTTTTCAAACACTATAAGCAATAGGTTGACTATATTTGGTTTAGGGAATGATTGTAAGGTGTATTTGTCTGTCTGGCAGGGATCATCTGTCCTTGACCTCATTTTTATGGTTCATTGGTCAATTTTAAGTTTTCCTGATACTATAAGCAATAAGTCAATTAAATCTGTTACATGGAATATTTGTAAATTGAACATGTCTGTCTGGCAGGTTAATCTGACCTTGACTTCATTTTCATGGTTCATAGGTAAATGTATGCTACTTTATGAGCTCCCAAATGTATATGTTGCTTGTTTCTTTAAACTAATTATCATACTTATATACAGAAGTGAGATAATTCTTATGCCCCTGTTTGATGAAATCAGATACAAATTTGCCAGAATTCCTATGCTTCTTTATGGTGTATAGTGTTTATAAAAAAATTGGTTACAGTTAAGCCCTCAACAATGAGCAATACATGTCATGTAGTAAGCTATAAAAAGGTCCAGCAATAGCAAAATTTAAAACTATTCAAAAGAGAAAACCATCTGCATTATGAATGTGTACGTACAATAATTACAAGACATTGAAGAGGATGTTTTCATGTTTTCAGATTTACACAATCAAATCTCTCCAGATATGCCAAAGATTTTATAGATCCTATTGTAGACAAAGAAGAGTTGTCAAAACCATTAGATGAATATGATACCAGACGGCATCGGCCAGTTAAGGCTGCTAGAACTGAAGAAACAATTATGGGTGACCAAGCTGTACAGTAAGTAAATATTAAGTAGTAAGGATTATCTTATCTTTTCTGTAGTCGAAAAACTATTCACTAAATATATTTAAGAATTAATTACTGTGGATTCATTAATTTTTGTGGGTAATAATTTTCGTGGAATGGGGAAAAATCTTATTTTTGTTGACATTTGATTTTGCCAATAGAGCATGCCTTCTTCGTTGAACATTTAAATTCGTGGTTAACCTATACCCATGAAATAAATGAAAATTGGTATCCCACAAAAAATAATGAATCCACAGTATATCTGAACGAGTTCAAAATAAAAGTACATATATAAAAAAGGGAGATATGGCATTTTTGTTTAGGGGCCAGCTAAAGCCTGCCTCAGGGTGCGGGATTTTCTCGCTGTGTTGAAGACCCATTGGTGGCCTTGGGCTGTTTTCTGCTCTTTGGTCGGGTTGTTGTCTCTCTGACACATCCCCTGTTTCCATTCTCAATTTTATCATAATTGCTAATGAGACAACTTTCCACCAGAAATCAAAATGACATAGACATGATAGATGTTAGCAACTATAGGTCACTGTACAGCCTTCAACTATGTGCAAAACCCATCCTGCACAGAAAGCAATAAAAGGTCCCAACATGACAAAATGCATCATAGTTCATTTTCAAGTATTTCATCCTTTTCATGACCTTTCAAGAATACTAAAAAATATTGGTAGATAACCATAATCAAAGAAATCATGCTGTTATTGCAGTTATTGGAAAGACTAACAGATAAGTTTCACAATTTAAAAGATATTATCGAAGATTGATAGACCTGGTTTCTGCTTGGGACAGTTGACTGACATTTGATTTAACATGTTTTGTAGACGATGTCAATAACAATTGAACTTTAATTATGACACTAGAAATTTGACTTTGTGATATCAAGATGTTAACAAAAGATCTTATTTCCTGTACGTTAGCAGACAAATTAGAATACCCGTAAAGTTCATTGATAAAGTGTAGCAAAATCATTATATCCAGTACAACAAAGTTCTAGATATGCATTAGAATTATGTACAAAATTAAAGTTTCTTTACAATTGGATTGTGTATTAAGAATCAACTATTTCTGCATGGCAGGTACAATATATTGAAAACAGGACAATTACACTCACTATTAATTATGATCATTTCAGGAAATTTATAAATATACTTATGAGAGATGGGAAGAAAGATGTGGCAAGAAATGTAATAGATCAGGTAAAACTAGTAGTAATGTCAGAATTGTTAAGATTGCAGACACGGTTTGAGCTAGGATTTTGAGGGCTTTAGTCACTTTTGCAGGAGATGAAAATCAACCTTATTTTGAGTAACAGCAAGGGACCAAGGACGTATATTACTAGCTATACATCTTTGTCAGACTTTGAAGGACTTAGGCATGTACTAGGCAGTTATTGCATGATTTGACTGATGTGGCGCTTAAATATGAAGATTAGGATGTAGGATCTAGATATCTAGTTCACAATTTCACTTCAGTTAGTTTCAGGGGACATTCCTGATCGACAAAAATGGGTTCCATTTTTTTTAAACCAGGAATCACAGCATAAATGAACTTGCAACCACTATTTCACTGCATAATCATTATTCTTATAAAAATGTTTAAATCAAGATTTGGAATTCATTTCTATAAAGTTTGAACCAAGGATTTGTACATATCCTTATTGGAACGATTCTAATGACTGTAAATTGTAAATTAATCAAGAATAGATCACGTTTACTTTCGAATTTCAAATGAAATGAAAACAGGAAGTAACAAGTTAATAATAAATTCAGAATGAATCCAGATTCATCTACGGATTGGTTCGTGTTTGAAAAAGACAGGAAATTGTCATTTTTATGCCCCCGCCATAGCGGCGGGGGCATTAAGTTTTACCCTTGTCCGTCCGCACGTCCCAAAGTTCTTTCCGTTCTCTAACTTTAGTTTGACTCAACCAAATGTTATGAAACTTAAACAAAATGCTCATTACCACAAAACACAGATCAAATTTGAATTTTGGTGGCGTCACTTTAACTGTTCTAGAGTTATGCCCCTTTACAAATGTTAAAATTGCTGAATTTTTCATCTCCGTTCTCTAACTTAAGTTTGCCTCAACCAAATGTTATGAAACTTATACATAATACTTATTACCACAAAACTCAGATCAAGTACTTCCTTATACTGTTCTTCAGTTATGTCCCTTTATAAATTTATATGATATGCCAGCGGGGCATCATCTGTGTCCATGGACACATTCCTCATTTATTTGAATTATATTTGCTTAGTAAGAACTATATTAGTCTCTCTCGTTTAATTTGATTCTAAATTATTTCGTATTTTACGTTTTATTGTGTATAAATTCATAAAAATACTTTCACACATGCTCAGTACATCGTAAAGGAAGCACCTGTTTGACATTAGTGAAAACATTTCTGAACGCTTTGAATAAAGTTACATCTTTTTAATCGAAATTGTCGAGAGTTTTTGATGAAAAGTTATATCAAATATGACGAAAATACGTTCATATGACGAAACTACGACAAACGAACAGCAAATTGTGATCGTTTGAGAAATATTGAAATTAAAATGCGAACTGTCCAGTGGAAAACAATTTTTTCAAATGACGAAACTACAACAAACAAACTGCAAATTGTGGTCGTTTGAGAAATATTGAAATTGAAATGTCGACTGACTGATTTTACTGGGGAAAATAATTATGATTGTCAATTATGAGGTTTATAAATAATAAACAGATTAGTGACCCATCCGATGGCGATAAGCGGGTTACCTGTAATCACAACTTATAACACCTGTTGTAAATGTTAATTAGCTGAGGGTCATAAACTTGTCAGAAACATGAGGACAGGTAGAATTATAGTATTTTCATTCGAAAATATTTTTACACTTTCCAAATTTAAGTGACTAAATTGATTGGAAATTCTTTCATCATTTTGAAAACCGTTTCGTAAATGACGAAAATGACGAGCGCTAGCAAAATCACTGATTGCAGGACTATTAAATTATATCAGTCTGATCAGGAATCATTTTGGATTGAAAAAAGAGGAGGAAATGCTTGCAATCCATGAAAAACACACAACATTTTATTCATGAAATTGTAACTTGGCATGCATTTTCAGGAGAGCATTTGGATGTTTGGGTCCATTGCATTGCTTTAAAGTGTTTCAGTTAACAAGTTTTTGTGACCTACACTCATTTTGAATGAAATGAGATACAGTCATGACAGTCACAGTGTACTAGTATAAATTCTACTATTGTTTTGAAAATGAGAAAAGAATTAACCTGAAGTTTAAAATCACACACCGTAATGTATAGAAGTAAATGTTTTTATGAGATATTGCCTCAGAGTCCTTCCCACTTTGTCTGTAGGAAACACTTGTTAGAATTCAGTCAAACCTGCCTTTACGGTCACCTTGTTTCAGCGATCATCTGTCTCCAACAGTCACTTTCAGACCCTCCCAAACTTTTTCACTATTTAATTTAAGTCTTTTTTAGCTAGCATTCACCTGTCTAACTATGTCAGTGGTCACCTAATTTTGCTAGAAATCATAATTTCAACTTTTCATGTTTGTTCAGTTCGAAGTCAAAATGAGAATTAGAACCTGTTTGCAACCGAGATCACGCAATAGGAGGGGAATTCCTGAATTGCTCGTGTTTCATTTTCCATTAAAAAACAGTATCACCAACTTATCTCTCCTCAAATATTAACATACATTGAAAGGCTTTTCCAATATAGAACGTCGGAATCCACCATTTTTATACGCCCTTTTACAGGACGTATTATAATGGTATACCGTTGTCTGTCCGTCCGTCGTCAACATGCAGACAATAACTCAAAAACGCTTTTATCAATCTGCATGAAACTTTGGTGAATTGTTTATATCTATTGACGTGAGGTTCCTTTCGTTTTTTATAAATTTTAGATTTTATGTTTCCGAGTTATGGGGTTTTATTCATTAAAAAAAGGGGGATTTTCCAGTTTTTGGACAATATCTTTAAAGTGCTTTGAGCAGTTTTCATGAAACTTTGTTGACTGGTTTATATCTATTAAGCTAACCTCCCTTTAGTTTTTCATAAATTTCTGAAATGACATTAAGAAGTTATTGAACTTTATTCTTTAAAAAAGCGACGGGCGTATCATGCGCTCATGGCACAGCTGTTTATTGTTTATTTCACTGGCCCAAGAATGATGACTCTACCAATTGTTAACATCCAGGTCATTGACGATATCGGAATCAGAATTTTGTTTGGAACCTCGTTTAAAAGGTCACCTCTCTTGAGCGTTCACTTTTAATACTTGCCATGAGTGACTGCTTAATACAGGTTTGACTGTAATCCCAAGTTAAGTTTTATGATTATTTAGGATGATTATGAAGTAATTATGGTAGGCAATTGATATTTGATATGCTTTTGAATAAGTGAATGATTTTAAGAATTTTTATGATTATTACTTGGTAAGTAAAATTTCAGGGTATGACACAGCCTAGTAATTGCAAAGCAAGCAGGCAGTATTATATTTATTGTGAAATCATATGCCTTTGTGTATTTTTCAGACTTTTGCTAATATTAAGAGAAAACAATTAGAAAGATACCATAGAGCTCAAACACAAGATGAGAAGGAGAAAATAGAACTAGACCCCATTAAAATATTTCATCAAGCCTATGAAAATTGTAAACCTGTTTTGTATACAAGAACAAAGGTACATGGAGGATTTAAATATAAGGTAAATAATCTAAATGAATATTATTCATTGTTCTAGCACTACAGTCTAGAACTGTACCTTTTTGAAAATACATAGTCAAAAGAAGTATCTTAAAAGAGATGACAGAGAGAAAAACCAAAAAAATTCTTGAGGGTAATTAAAAAGATTTCAGTAATATTCTTTCATGACTTTTTTTTTTTATTTTAAAGAAAAAGTAAATAAAATCACTACCTTCCTATTTTAGTATACTAAATGTTACCTTAAAAAAACATGGTAATATATGGAAGGTTTTACCAATGAGAGAGGATATTTGAAATAGCATTACTTATTATATCTCCTCAAAATGAAGTTTGAGAGAAAAAAAGTTTATATTTTTTTTAAAGGAGTATGGCCACGAAGTGCCGATATTGGCCCTGTGAGGTGACAAAAAATAAAAGAGAAATAAGGTGGATCCTTTATAGCTAAAACATATCTACGTATATTGTTATTTGTTATTATAGTATAAAATCATATTTTTGTGACGTCATTTATGTGACGTAATACCCGGAATCAAACCGGAACGCTCAAAATGTCCAAATTCTTAAAGAATTTCACACTTCCTGGTTAAATTTCGCATTGGCCACAGGCCTCGACCGAAGTAATTTTACTCTTATTTTGATTGTTTGACACTTTGACTCAGTTTGCAACAATATTTAGCGTGGTCGAGGCCTGTGGCCACATCGAAAATTTTAACTTTTGCAAACAAGCAAATCCTGATTCACCGCCGCCATTTCCGAGGTACGATAGATTCTGTGACGAAATAATTCGCCGTTTCAGAATCTAATGCATTGTGGGTAATATTTTCAAAAGCGTACACCAAAACGTTGTGATTGGTTTGAAACGCACTAAACAATGGAAATTCAACCAATGACGTAACGTTATTTTCATTTTGGTGTACGAACAATGAGAATACCCATAGTCCTTTAGATTCTGAAAAGGCGAATTAACTGTACCAAGAACTTGTACAATTGCTACAAATAGAATAAATTCTATAATTTATTATTCTCTTATTTATAACAAACAAAAAAGAAGAAAATGGAATAACAAGTCTTTTTTAGCAAAGCTTCGTTAACCGCCGATCTGGCGAGGTTTTTAACGTCCTAATAACTGTTTTTATTAGAAAACAAGACCAATTAGTGGAAATAAAAATTATGAATTTGCAAATTATTTTAAAGTTCATTTCCACGTTATTTTGTAATAATTAGCCCGGTCTGTGCTATGCAAACAAAAATATGACAGTTTTAAATTAGAGCCGTAGTTTTTTTCCGTAAAATTCTTCATCCAGCAGATCGACATGGGTGTCAACATAACAATTCAATACAAATTTCCTTTTAGATTCACGTATTTTGTTTTTTTAAAGATGAAATCGCCGAAATATAACCTCCGCGGAATGTAATCTCATGTTGACGCTTTGATGAATAGCTTTCTTTCACGTCCGCATTTTCTATCATGTATGGCATGCCAAGTTAACATTTTTATACGACCGCAAAAATTGAAAATTTTTTGGTCGTATATTGGTATGACATTGGCGTCGTCGTCGTCGTCGTCGTCGTCGTCGTCGTCGTCGTCTGGCGTCGTCCGAAGACACATTGGTTTTCGCACTCTAACTTTAGTTTAAGTGAATGGATCTCCATGAAATTTTACCATAAGGTTCAATACCATAAAAGGAAGGTTGGGATTGATTTTGGGGGTTATGGTACCAACAGTTAAGGAATTAGGGGCCAAAAAGGGGCCAACAATGAGCATTTTTGTAACTTCCAGACAATAACTTGTGTGTAAGTGTATGGATCTCTCTGACATTGTACCACAAGGTTCCATATCACAAAGGGAAGGCTGTAATTGATTTTGGGGGTAATTGCCTCAAAATGTTAGGAATTAGGGGCCAAAAAAGGGGCAAAAAACAAGCATTTTTCTAGTTTCATGACAATAACTTGTGTGTAAGTGTTTGGATATTTCTGAAATTGTACTACAAGGTTCCATATCACAAAGGGAAAGCTGGAATTGAGTTTGGGGGTAATTGCCCGAAACGTTTAGGAATTGGGGGCCAAAAAGGGGCCAAAAATAAGCATTTTTCTAGTTTCCAGACAATAACTTGTGTTCAAGTGTATGGATCTCTCTGAAATTGTACTGCAAGGTACCATACCACAAAGGGAAGGCTGAGATTGAGTTTGGGGGTGATGAATCATAAGGGGTTTCAAAAATTTTGGGGGGGGATTTTTTTTTTTCTTTTTTTTTCTTTTTTTCCTTTTTTTTTTCTTTTAAAATTTTCCATTTTAAGTTGGTTATTTCTGATTTATATTTAAAAGCAAATAATAATGATATGGTAGGAGATACACACCAAACAGGATGTGTGAATTATTATATAATAAGTATTGTGCAATAGCAAGAAATTTTCAATTGCACAGTATTGCACAATAGCAAGAAATCTTCAATTGCACAGTATTGCGCAATAGCAAGAAATCTTCAATTGCACAGTATTGCGCAATAGCAAGAAATATCCAATAGCACAATATTACGCAATAGCAAGAAATTGTCAATTGTACAGTATTGCGCAATAGCAAGAAATAATCAATTGCACAGTATTGTGCAAAAGAAGATACTTCGTATAAATTGCTTATTTCTTGATCAATTTCAATGGGGTTTTATTCTTGAATTCTTGGGGTTCTTTAATATGCTGAATCTAACCGTGTATTAAGTTTTTGGATTTTGGGCCCCGTTTTTAAATTGGTCCACATTGAGGTCCAAAGGGTCCAAAATTTAACTTTGTTTGATTTCATCAAAAATTGAATTATTGGGGTTCTTTGATATGCCGAATCTAACCGTGTATTTAGATTCTTAATTTTTGGTTCTGTTTTCAAATTGGTCTACATAAAGGTCCAAAGGGTCCAAAATTAAACTTAGTTTGATTTCAACAAAAATTGAATATATGGGGTTCTTTGATATGCTGAATCTAACCATGTATTTAGATTTTTGATTATGGGCCCAGTTTTCAAGTTGGTCCAAATCGGGGTCCAAAATTAAACTTTGTTTGATTTCAACAAAAATTGAATATATGGGGTTCTTTGATATGCTGAATCTAACCATGTATTCAGATTTTTGATTATGGGCCCAGTTTTCAAGTTGGTCCAAATCGGGGTCCAAAATTAAACTTTGTTTGATTTCAACAAAAATTGAATATATGGGGTTCTTTGATATGCTGAATCTAACCATGTATTTAGATTTTTGATTGTTGGGCCCCGTTATCAACTTTGTCCACATTGAGATCAAAAGGGTCCAAAATTAAACTTTGTTTGATTTCATCAAAAATTGAATATATGGGGTTCTTTGATATGCTGAATCTAACCATGTATTTAGATTTTTGATTATGGGCCCAGTTTTCAAGTTGGTCCAAATCGGGGTCCAAAATTAAACTTTGTTTGATTTCAACAAAAATTGAATATATGGGGTTCTGTAATATGCTGAATCTAACCGTGTATTAAGTTTTTGGATTTTGGGACCCGTTTTTAAATTGGTCCACATTGAAGTCCAAAGGGTCCAAAATTTAACTTTGTTTGATTTCATCAAAAATTGAATTATTGGGGTTCTTTGATATGCCGAATCTAACCGTGTATTTAGATTCTTAATTTTTGGTTCCGTTTTCAAATTGGTCTACATAAAGGTCCAAAGGGTCCAAAATTAAACTTAGTTTGATTTTAACAAAAATTGAATTTTTAGGGTTCTTTGATATGCTGAATCTAAACATGTATTTAGATTTTTGATTATGGGCCCAGTTTTCAAGTTGGTCCAAATCGGGGTCCAAAATTAAACTTTGTTTGATTTCAACAAAAATTGAATATATGGGGTTCTTTGATATGATGAATCTAACCATGTATTTAGATTTTTGATTTTTGGGCACTGTTATCATTTTTGTCCACATTGAGATCAAAAGGGTCCAAAATTAAACTTTGTTTGATTTCATCAAAAATTGAATTCTTGGGGTTCTTTGATATGCTGAATATAACCATGTATTTAGATTTTGGATATTGGACCATAATAGGTGAATGTCCAATTTAAAATTTTTAAGTTCTTAGACCACATTCATTCTGTGTCAGAAACCTATGCTGTGTCAAATATTTAATCACAATCCAAATTCAGAGCTGTATCAAGCTTGAATGTTGTGTCCATACTTGCCCCAACTGTTCAGGGTTCGACCTCTGCGGTCGTATCAAGCTGCGCCCTGCGGAGCATTTTATTCATAATTACTACGGATGGTGTAAATAGATTACAGAACTTTGAACAATAACATACATAGAAAATCGTAGGACATAAGAAGAAACCACGTGAGAATTTTGATATCATATTGCACAGTGGTTAAATAAGCTTTTCAATATTTCTTTAATTAAAATAAAAATTACGACGCCATGAGAGGGCATGGTGTATACTGTCCGTGACATTCAACCAGAACAAATATTTGTTTTCAATGAAAACTGAAATAAAGATGAAACAAAACTATCCGCACAATCATATAGCTTGGGTAACTTCAAATAAATATCAGATATTCACGCGGGATAGCGTGCATAATTGGTCAGAATGCATACAAGGAGCAATTGTTTATTTGGTCCCTTTTTGGTGGTTTCTTTTAAATTTGAGTGAGACTATGTTACAAGCGATCAACAAAAATGGCTGCTTACTATGAATGAATTATCTATGAGATAACTTTATATTTCTGATTTTTCGTTTCTTGTGGTGGCCCGAGGTTCGTGTTCAATCTGTAGTTACCTGTTTTTATATTTTTTTATTGCTGTTTTTTTTTGTCGCCTCTATATGTTCATGGTGTTGTATGATCTTATTAGTGTTATGATTCTTTATTGCCACCCCCCCCCCCCCCCCCCCCCCCCCCCCCTTTGGGGAATTTTCTCTTATGTTCAATGACAACACATGCAATTTCTTGTTTCCTGTTTGAAATAGATTCTCTAAATTGCTCTCCGTCATAAATATGCATGAAGTATTTGCCACTGGACGTTCGTCAAACAACTATCAATCATATCTCCTCTAAGATTACAGTACAATAATGACCTTTAACATAATTGAATAAATGATTAAAGATTTTAAAATCTTTTAAGAAGATATTTACGCATCTATTATTTCACTTTTTGGGAAAAAACATTTTACTACACGAGTTGTTTGTTTCCTGATGATGGATGACTGTTTAACGTCCAGCGGCAAGTTAGATGCATATTCTGGACAAGAACATGTAATTTGCGCACATTGCCTCTATACTCTGGTAGCAAGGGTATACAAGACAAAATCTGAACATCACACATGGAGTCCAGAATTGATGAGCTTCTCATGAAGATGCAGTATTTATCCCACATACCATGGACGAAAGTGGCAGTGAGCAGAGTGTAGTTGAAGAATAGAATATTATTTTTATCATTGTTAGGTAGCTGTCACATTGACGTTTATCTCAGAATTCCTCTTGCTCATCTTTTTGAAACCTATTTGTTTATATCGTACTTTTTGCAACTAAGCAAACTTTTTGAAAACTCTTAAAACATTTTTGTTGAAAAATAGTTCACATTTCATTTCACTTTAAAGAAAACAAACATTGTGGAGAGTTGTCTCATTGGCAATCATACCACATCTCCTTTTTATATATAGACGAAAATAATTGATCTTGTATATTAATTATAGTTATAGATAATACATTACTTGAATGGATGCAGCTTACATACACTTATCATCGTTACAATCAACGCCAAATAAAAAAAAAAACTGATATTCATGGATTTCTATTAGTTTTTAAATGAATCCATGCACGTCATTCGATATCTGGGTTGAAGGTTGTCTTCTTTGCAATAATATCACATCTTCTTTTTTTCATACGGATTGAGGCATGAATCTGTTTGATATGACCAAATGATAATAAAATTAATAACAAAATTCACTCGAACTTTTTTCGAGATAAGAATGATAGTTGTATGTGGAATACCGGAACACTTTAACCACGAACAAGACTAGTTAAGATTACAAGATAAAAGCTAATTAAGAATAAATTGACAATTGTGAAAACCTTAAAAAAGAATTTCAGTTTAAAACTTAAAGGGGCATTAGCTGTCAAATTCATGTTCACCGATTTGACTCATATTCGACTTATAACATACTAAAACGTACAATGTATATCCAAATTAAAAAAAGTATAAAATAAACAATTTACGGTGCATAGACTCGATAGCATGTATCAGCATTTCGTGTGTATTTTAGTCTAGACGCCATCTAATTAACCATCGAGGCGACCTTCTGAAGACTGCTGACGGTCATCTTACCCAATATAAACATAAACAAAGATATAAATAGATAGCAAACTCGTGCAATTGGATTTTTCTAGGTCTGTTTGATTTGATATTATAGGTTAAATCAATATGTTAATAATCGTTTTTACCTGTATAAGAATAAGTTTTTGTAGATCGAATCAGTCAACCAAATGGTTTACCCTTGTTTCACTTCCAATGTTGACATTCTTTTTCTTTTAATACCTGAACACGCCTATTTCATGCGTAATCCATCTCTAGCTAAGGAGTTCAATTGAACTTCACATGAATACGGATTTAATGAGGTCGAATTATCCACTTGCAAGCGAATAATTCATAAGCGATGTTTCTTTGCTTATTTTGACAAAACTGAACCTAGCAGCCCAAAAGCGAATTATTATTTCACTTTCATTAATGATGGAAACAAAAATAAAATCTTTTTTTTTCTATATCTCGTAGCTAATGCCCCTTTAACATGTTTAACGAGAACACGAATCATAAAATAATAAAAGTATTTGTTCTTTTAAAACGTAATTGATATAAACATGCAAAAGTCGGATAGATTTAATTGAAAATAGCTAAATCGCTAAATGAAATCGTCCACAGCGGACAACTGAGAATGAGTATTCTGTCAAATTTTTGAGTTTTTTAAACTAGGCAGTGGCTATTTTGCCGCCGCTGGCAAAATAGAAAATATGCTATTTTGTCGTCTTTGATTAAAATATCTTAATCAAAACAAGCAAAATAGCATATTTCGATAGCAATGACTATTTTGCCGGCGCCGGCAATATTATGAATTTGTTATTTTGCCGGTTCTTTGTAAAGAGTGAATTTTAATATTTACTTGTGAAAAATACTACGAAAATGTGCATTGTCAACATAAAAGAATCAAATTATTATTCGACATATAGCTGAAGAAGATAAATGTCACAATATTTGAGATACATATAATCGTTTATAAACATGTATGAGTCCAAGTGAAAATAAGAATTTGTAAAAAGGAATAAAAATAAAAACTATTGAGCATCCATTTGAAGCAATGAAATCATATAAAAAATGTAGTTGAAATTACTTCTAATATCAGTCTAATGCTACATATATGCATAAGAATAAAATCTGAGATTTTTTAACTATGCTGTAAAAAAATGAAAGACAAAATCTCATGGCATATCGGTTTGATAAAAACGTTATACAGTCTTTAAAAAATCAATCACATAGCTTCAAAATCAAAAATGTTTAAATTAAACTTAGTTTTGAAATAATAGTCAGTTTTGAATTGCATATCTGTAAACAAAATCTTTTTTACTGGCATGCTGGCTTCCGCTTACCGAGAATGGCAAAATAGCATATTTTCAATTTTGGGGGCGCCGGCAAAATAGCCACTGCCTTTAAACTATTACTTTTTCTAGTAAAAAAGTTCTGGGAAAATATAAAAAGGATTTATTGAACCATTTGAAAGAATTATATTTCAATTTCTACAGATGACTACATATTTCATGCGCTTTAGGTACAATTAGAGATAGCAGTACTATGTAATGTGGTCAGTGACGTATGAATGGCGGTATTATATGAAACTATTGTTCATTCATGTGTTTAATTCTGAATGTTGCTTTGAGAGTAAGCATGTAATCCTCCGGAATGAGAATGATGTTTATGAGTGCATGCGTGGTTCTGGTGTCTGATGACTTTTGTACAATTATAATGTGTTCTATGATTATTGAAGTACATGTTATGCTATGTACTGTCTATTCACAATGTTTATCTTTATCTGTGTTTTCATCTTTTACTTCTTTACTAGAAAATAAACTTTTCTGTGTTTAAGTGAATCACGGTTTTCTTTCCATATACAAATAAGATGATGTGGTGTGATCAACTATCCTCATAAATTTTTACGACTGTACTTCGCTCGCCAAGATATTTTACAGCTGTCAATCTAAATTCCTTCTGCCCAATAGAAGACATTCATTGCTTATGTTTTAAAATCCTTTATGACTTTTAATTTAATCTATGCTATAGAATGATGTTTGTTTACATAGTCTCTGCAACTTCTATTTCGAGAATATCAATACAGAAAACGAGTATTCGGGCCACTTATAAAAAAATTAATTGAAGCGCTTATGTGCAGCTTAAGCCTTAATATTAGTAAATTTCTGTTAATAGAGTTAAAACAAAAACAAGATATATGGACGAGATTCAAGAAATAGTTTGGAAAACAATTCTTGTGGTAAAATGATTATAAAGTTACTAGAACGTTCATGAAACAATTTTAACGTTACGCGCAAATGGCTAAAATACCATTGTACCTTGGTCTTTTCTGGCGCCCTGGAAAATTATACAAACACAGTTACAAGTCTAATGGTTATCGTTTTATGAACTACACTTGTTAGTGATCCTTCTGCAGTAATTACGTCAATTTCTGAGACAGGGCCGTTTTTAACCCTTCGTGGCCCTACTCCTTTAATTTTAAAAGCAGTGAAACCATACAAATACCATTGTGCATTTTGAAAAAAAGAATGGAAGATAAATATTGAACCTTTTCCATATGAAAACCATGATTTTTCAACTTAATCCAAACTTTTTAAGTGATGACATTAAGCAGCAATATCATACTTTGCTCACAATTTTCAAGAAAGTATATATGTTACCAAGTATATTTTTAGAAAAATAAACAGAAGTAAAATATTAAAAGTAATCCTGTATGGACCCTAGAAAAATATTGCATAAAATGTCAAGTCACAATTTAGTACTAGTATAAATTCAGAAATTATTGTGAGGTTATTAATATTGCAAATAATGCAGCAGGGTGAGTATCGCAATAATTAGAACTCAAAATCTGATATCTGATAAATATGTATGTATGCAGATTTTCCTGAAATCGAAATAACTAATCTTACAATTTGGTCCATTCTTCAAAAATCCCAATAATAAATACACACAATAAATTCTAAATTTACAGTAATGTTTCCTGTAAAAAATAAATTTTCATTTATTGTGGTTAATTATTTTCAACATCATACATAAAACAAGCAAATAAATGTGGAATTTTTATCATCTCCATTGAAACTGGGGAATATTTCTCTCACAGATATTACAATGCTTGAATGCAAAAACTGGACAAAACTGTTCCAGCCAGAAGATTACAAGATTCTACTTGGTTATATGGGTTAAACTCAGGGGTGCAATCCACATACATCAGTTAATTAGTTAAAATGTATCTTTAACTATTTAGATTTTTACAGGTACCTTGTCCATGTGAAGGCAATACACAATCATTTAAGTCCATGAAGTTTTTAATTACTGCTGCTGAAGAGAAAGATAAGAAAATAAGAATGTGGAAAAGGTTATCCCTGGAAATTATTGAGGCTTCCAGAAATGAGGTATAATTATTGTTTTTTTTTATTTATGCCGCTCTTAATTCAAAAGTTGTAGCCATGTGGTTTTAAAGTAAGAATGGAGGTATGCAGTTTTACAAATACAAATACAGAGTTTTTTGGTTAGTATCTTGAAAACTATAACAGATAGAGAGAAATTAAAAACAGTAAAAATGTCAAGAACAAAAGTCAATATGGCAGAAATTGTCAAATGACCTCGTATAGGGTTGTTGCTTTTAAATGATTTCTAGCCCTTTTGCATTTTATTTTAGGAAACTATAGTTGATAAAGAGACTTCTTTTCCATTGTACAAAAAACGAACCTCTTTTCAAAGTAATTTTCTTAATTATAGAATAGATATACTTGTACATGGTATCTTTGTCTTTTTCAGGGTGTTGCAATCAGAAAGAAACAGAATCTACACCGAGAGTGTCAAGCTAACAGAGCATATTCTCATTTTAGATGGAGCAAGTGAAAACTGTCAATAGACATTCTGTTTGTGGTAGCATGTTTCACATGTCATAGAGTGCTTCTATATTTAAAAAAGTAAATGGCCCTGCTTCTAAAATGAAAATCTGTAAACTGGTAATGGTTTGACAATAACTTTTAGATTTAAAAAAAAAAACACTTATTAGACAAGCATCTATTCCTTGAGTACTAAATCACCCTGACTATAGACTAGAAATGAACATATTGACATTTTTCTAAAGCGAAATATAAAATTTAAGAACATTTTGACTTTAATTATTAACATTTATTGCCCAAAATTAAGTTTTTGAAATGGAGAGATAAGTACAAGATGCAATTCATGTGGGAATATGTTCTTGAGTAAGGCTTGTGGTCTATATCATTTATCAACATGTATGAATGAGCCAAGATTTTGTTTAATTTAGGCATATTGTTGAATCAACAGACATTTTATTGTTGTATAAGTCATGAAAAGGAAATATTTTATATAGAAAATGCAAAAGTACACAGATTCAACATTTAATTCTTCAAATTTGTGTAATTTTAAAGTACACTCAAATTCAAGGCTAAGTTGACCCCAAATTGTAACTTTTCCTTTCATGGATAGAAAAAAGTATGGTTGTTTTTTAAAATGTTTTTGATATTTGTTAGTTTATGTAAAATTCATTAGTTTTTTTTTTAGATGTTTACATCTATTTTTATGTGAATCTGTGTGAGGAAATCTACAAACACTGATTTCAGAGGCATTGTTCACAATCTTGAACACTGGGGTGCTGTTACAAATATCCTCTCTGTTTATCTTTAAAAATTCATTATTATACTATTCTGTTTTATGAGTGTAAACTATTTTTTCTCAATATACTGTTGATCAAATTAACTGAAGACACTCAAAGGACAGTTAAATGTTCTAACATATTTTAATTGCAACAACTTTTGTGCAGTTTAAATAAAAATGATATAATTTTACCTTGTTCGTCTGTATTTTATATGACTGAAAAAGTAGCTGTATCTTGGTATTGGTTTGCTTTAGCCTTCATTAGTGTTATTTCTATCAAATTTTTCCATGGAACAAGTTTTGTTCAAGTTGTCTAGTCCATTTAAGATTTAAACATGTTGATAATTTTCATGTCTATATACCAAAAGGGCCAGTTTAAACCAAACTTTACCCAAATAAAATCATTTTTAGATCAGTTGTATTAATGAAATAATATGCAATACGAAAAGAGACAAGACCTAAAAGAAAATTGACCCCCCCTCTTCCCCCCTGTAATGAGAAATGATATTAGATGCTGAAGTTTTGGTAATGGTAACACCCATTGATATAAGAGATGATGTAAGATGCAACAGAATTTAGGCTTATCTTTCAAAGTTGGTACCCGTAATATTGGGTAGTGCTGTTTGAAGATTAATGTAAAATCTTTTACCGTTCTTTAGTAGTATGAAAATAGATTCTGTATTTTTTATATTTGCGTATCTGTGATTGTTATTTATACTGGTATCTCCAACGTCAAAAGCAGGTCAAGTCAATGTTTTCTACTCCATCTGTTTATATGTATGAAAGACCTTAGGTAGAAAACTTTTGTTTGCAGATAGTTTGAAATTTTCCATCACTCTTTGTACAAGGAAAATTTTTGTCAAACTTTTGTTGACATTTATGGAAGGGAATGATTTTGTATACCTGTAAATAGCTCTACAGCTTGATGAAGTTGTATTGTAGTGTGTTAGCAATTTTTACAGAAAGCATGCAGCAACTTCCTGTTTACCAATTGTATTAGACACGGCGCAGGTCTAGACATGGTATTGTTATATTTAGAGAAAAAAGATATGAGATAAATGCTAATGGGACAACAATCTCATGGAAAATACTATATCAAAGGAAGAAGATTTAATTGCTGTTCTGCTGTTCTCCAGTTTCACTGTATAATAATTTCTTAAACAGATAGCTGAAGTACTTACAGTATTTTGCTCACCTGACCCAAAGAGCAATTTGAACAATTGAATACACTTGGCCTCCAAAAAAAAAATAATACCATTCATTGATTAATTGATAGTTGGCTGCTTAATGTCCAACGGCAAATATTTTATGCATATTCAGGGCGATAACATGACATGTTAATGAGATATGAATATTCACTGCTTTGCACTAAAATGACACACTGAGTTCAATTATCTTACTCACAAGGTAACTTTATTTCTAAACGCTGCATGCTTGCAGGAGAAGCAGCAAATACCAATATTAAAGACTTTGGTTTGACTTAGTCTTGAATCGATTTAATAATTTCCCACACACAAGATGAATATGCTGTAATGAGACCATAGAGAAAGTTAAGAAAGCAATGACATTGAAGGCTTTCCTTGTATACCTTCATTTCTTTCATTATATTGAACAGCAAATCTGAGGACTTACCTAGTTTATATTGGATATCTAAGCTTCACAAAATTCCGTACAAACAACAGTACATTGCAGGCTCATCTGCATGTTCTACAAAGGAATTGTCCATTTTCTGTCCGTAGTGACAGAGGGTGTTCAGAAATGCTGTGAAACTGTTTACTCGGGTAGTGGTATTAACAATATGTGGATTCTAAAAAACTCTAAAGAACTTCTGGATGACATTAAATCTTGATCTTTCTCTGAAATTACTTCTATCAAAACCTTTGATTTTTCAACCCTTTATACCACCATTCCCCATGTCAAATTGAATAATCGTCTAAAAGAAATAATCAACAATCCTTTTCGATATAAAAATGATAGACCATGCTATAAATTTATTGTTTTGGGATACCATATGGCATATTTTGTTAATAGTGAACAAAAAAGTAAAACATGCTACACAGAAGAACAAGTGATCAGTAATGCTGGAGTTTCTTATTGACAACATATTTGTTGAATTTGGAGGTAGACTTTTTCAACAAGTTGTCAGCATTCCTATGAGAAAAAATTGTGCGCTCTCCTTGCAGACCTCTTCTTGTTTTCATATGAGTCTGAGTTCCTTTAGACATTTGTCAAAAACAGGAAGATCAAAGAAGCCAGATTATTTAATTTCACATTCAGATATATTGATTATGTTCTTTCCATTAACAATCCCAACTTTTATCCATTAATATATCCTCCAGAACTAGAAATTAAAGAAACAACACAGCTCCCTCCGCCTCATTTTTAGACTTATACCTCGAATATGACATAAGCAGTCATCTCAGTACCAGAATCTATGTCAAACGAGACGATTTTAATTTTGAAATTATCAATTTCTTCCACCTTAGCAGCAATATACCAACTTCAGCTGCATATGGGATATACATTTCCCCAACTCATTCAGTATTCAAGAGCTTGCAACTGCTACTCACACTATATAAAACGCCACCAGTGTCTGAGTCGAAAGGGTTATGTCAAAGAACATCTTATCCTTTTTCTCAAAAAATTTATCGGAAGATACCAAGACCTTGTTGATAAATATTCCGTATCAACTTCACAAATAATACATGATGGTTGTGAAGTAAAGATTCTAGGTACTGACATTGTTTATCTTCTTAATTACATGTTATAGTGTTCCTTTTATTTGTCTTTGTGTATTATTAACCTTTACTGTTTAGTCCATTTTTGATTCAGCCATGCTGGATCTATGCGATCACTCTGGTTTTGGAGATGGTGCAGAATACTAAGTTGAAGACATATCATGAACCTAATTATGTGTTTTTATGACTTGCAGAAACTTTCTACACCATTTTAATCATCAACTGCAAACTTTTGACATGTTATTTTCTTAAATTAAGAAAAGATTGGTCGAATAGTGACTTTATTTTAGATATACACTTGCATATAGTTCCTTTCTAAATCAAAATTTATGATGATTTACTATTTATGAATTAATTTGAAAAAGTATTTGTACATCAATTGAATCAGTTGATAAGAATTTTGAAAGTATTATATTAGTATCTTGTGCTTGTGTAAATAATTGTTCAATGAAATGTAGGTCAACATGTGTATTAAAATATCTAAGTTGATTCCCACACTTTTTTGAAATGGTATTACTCCAATTCTTTCCATAGGCAAGTAAGAGTCAGAATGATTATTAACTGCCATGATTTTCAAATAAGTATTAATTAGAAACAACCCCAGGCTTAATTCAAAACAGTTAATATCTCATGACCTGTTACATAATTAAATAGACCCAATTTATTACACACCTAACTGAATACACACATTCTTGACCTCAATAGTAAACCTACAAATGTATTATTTATTTTGATCCACACTACATTAAAATATTCTGTTAATTTTACTAGCTAGCTGAATGATTAATCTGATGTGTTTTTTTTCAATGAAAATACTTAAAATGTATAAAAAATGCAAGCAAATTTTATTTTACTTGTAAAATCAGTGCCATTATTATCTGACGTAAGTCAATAATCAGGTTCTAATTAATTAGTTACAATTATCAGAAATTTTGTTGAAATATTAAACAAAATTGCACAACTCTTACCTGAGCATTTTCTGCAATAAAATTTATTTGTTTGTTTTACATTTATATCCCATTATATTGCTATTTAACATTAATTGGAAATATCTCAGCATTAGGTATTTGTACATTCAGATTTGAATACAGGAAATGTAATTTTTCTTAATGTAGAATGAACACCAATTTAGATAAAAAATAGTTATTATTTTTTTTAAATTTTTATTGTTGAGAAAGTGCATTTATAAGGCCTCTTTCTAGAAATTATTAAACTTTCATTATAAATGGCATATAAAAAATATATTACTTGTTTGACAATTTCCCTTCCATTCTTGTCAAAAATAAAATCTGACAGTCTAAAATTGAAAGATCAGTATATACATTGTATATCTATATTTGCATCAATGTTGCGAAATTCCCTACCTTTGGACAATAACATAGAAATTTTACAGTAAGATTGGAAATGAAAAGAGAAAAAAATTTAGAAAAAAGTATGGTCAGAAAGAATATGAGACTAGCTATGAATATGGCTGGATCACAACATCAACGATGCTTTGATTGGTAATATAGTTTTGGCGTGGTTATGTTATTGTGCTATGGTGATTTTTTGTATTCTTGTCTTTCATTTTTGCTTATGTACTTTGTCTATAGAGAGTCTATATTTTGTTTTCCTTTGTTGAAATAGTTATTTGTTTTTAAAGTGATTATAAAGATTATAACACAATGTTGTCTTGTGTACCCCAATTTTTGACTTCTTTATCAATTATGTTTATGTGTTTTGCTCACACATTGTGTGTCAATATAATGGAATTCTCTGTGACTGTCATACAAGTGAGAGGTTTAGCTAGCTATAAGTGCCTACCAAATAAATGCTATATTTTATACAAAACTGGTCAACCTTTTCCAATATCAATGAATTGTTATTGTTTGACTTGTTCCCTTACTGAATATACATTTGCTATTGGCCACAGGGCCAAACAGCTACTAAAGGTGATACTTTATCTTTTTTTGACTGCTGGTGATCCAATGATATATCAGAATGAAGACACGTTAAATGGGTCTGTTTACAATGATACCAATACTTTATTTGTTATCTATAGTTTCTTGGACAAACATATACATGTATCAGTTTACCAACTGGGACAATGACCCTTAAAATCTCAATATTGATAAATTTACTGTCTAAACATTCATGATATGAAATGTTGGCACTTTAAATATGGAGTAGTCGCCCACAGATTTCCAATACATCTACCCATATATTTAGATGAGGCTTCTCGAATGCAATGTGAGTATTGCAGGCATTGAGATATAGGAACACAAATTCAACATACCAATAAGGGTTAAACAAACCAATAATAAATGAAAACAAATAGTGCTTGTTCACAACATTATTTTGCCCCCCAGCTCAATTGGACTTAATAATGGTGGCTTAAAGTGCAACTGAATGTAAAGAGTAGATGCAGGCTGTAAGAATTGAATGCTGAAGATACAAATTTAATAGCTATGGAGTGTCATATGTATACAAAATAATCACAAATAAACAAAGGAATTTCAGTTACACTTGTAATATCTCTGAGTATTTTGCTTATAATATAAATTGTACCATGATTTAAGCTCAAATAACTGAACAACATATTTCCTTCACCATTTCTTTTTTATCAAACAAAAAACAATAAAAAAAAGTCACAATAAATCATGGTGTTACAACAGCTTAAACTTATTTTTGTACCAAGGAAAACTGAACTTTACTTTCTTTAAGGCTACTGATCTAAAGAAAAATAGTTGTCCTTTGGAAAATTGTAATTTAAAACATTACTAGGTGGAACTGTTGTAGTGAACTAAAATAAATTTCTTGACTTAAACTAGTGCCATCATGTCCCTCAGACAAGGAAAGACAACAGATACATTCTAGTATTGGGAAGGTATTGTAATGGCAAATAACAATACATATGGTAAATGGGTGTGGAATTTAACTGTTTTCAAAATATTTTTATATGAGATGGTGGGACAAAACCTGCATTCAGAAGGGTTATCATGGATGTATGGGTTAGGGGTAGAGATTCAAAATGATAAGAACATGGGATATAAAACAGTGTTCAAAAATATTTAATAATCAATGAGATGATAAAAACCCAGGGAAAATAGTTTTATCAAGGAAATTAAGAATGTATATGGTTAAGAGGTGGGAATGTGAGCAGTTTTCAAGATATGTTACAATTAATGATAGGAGAGCTAGGCATGTTCCCATGGGAGAAGATCTATGGTAAACTAGAAGGTATTATCAAGGCAATTAAGAATATATATGGTTTAGGGATGGGATCTATAGCATTATTTAGATATTTAACAATAATTTATGAGGGGCAGGGCATAACCCATAAAGGCACAAAATTTTAGGTGCATTGAAAATATATGGTTTTGGGTGGACATATAAAAATCTGTTATCTTACATAAAAGGTCAGAGGTCATCTTCAATAGTACGCTACATATTGTCTTGAGGTGCTGCACCAATGTACCAAACATCAAATACATATGTCAAAGGATTAAAAAAGTTATATGCCTGACAAGGAAATGTCCAAAAATAAAAATGGCCTATTATTGCTTACATCCACACCATTTAAACTTTGGTGGATAGTTGTCTCATTGGCAATCATACCACATCTTCTTATGTTTATACAATAGCATTTTAACCATAAATATAGATTCTACCACTGCATCGAGTGTGATACGATATTTATCCACTCAAGACAGTTAAATTTTCAAATTTTAAATGCGAGGCTTGCCGAGCGTTTTAAATATTTAAAATTTAACTGTCGAGAGTGGATAAATATCGTATTACACAAGATTTGGTGGTGGAATCTGTTTCTCTAATGATTTTCAAACAATATGCAGGCAAACTTATTCCTTCTTTTTGAATGATCTGCAAAAAGATGTGTTCTTTCTATGTGACGTCATCAGGCATGGTCGCCTTTTTTCATGCCGTCACAATAGGAAATTCAGAGGAAAGCAAGAAAATTTGACGTTATAATCGGATTTTAACCAATGAAGAACTGAGATCAAACGAACCACACGTTGATTAAATTTTTTTTATACAATGGGTGCAGAAAGGGATAAATTGACGAAGAATTAGAGAAACAGTATTTATACAGACTTATTATCAAAATAAGATATTTACCACAGTTTACATTTGAATAAAAAAAGAAATGTAGAGTATACATCAATGTAACAGTAACTTAATGACAAAAAAAAATTCAAAACATTTAGGGAACAACCCATAGTCATTAACAATAGATAGGTGTCAGTACAATATGTCAAGCTCTAAGTCGTCCAGAGTTTATAAAAGTTGTGAATAAAAATGGTTTAAAATGCTCTTAATATGTAAACATAATTAATATCTAAAAACATGCTCTATTACTATTAGAACGGTGAATTCATGCCAAGTTTTGTTCCAAAGTTCAGTCTTGTCCTTTTCTGATATCGTGTGTAAATGCTGAAATATAAAAAAAAAGAAAATTTAAAACATTACTTACATCTAAAAACTTTATCATGGGACATTTTTGTAAATTAGCAACTCTTTTCTCAAAAAATCACAGATAAAAGTACTATGAGGAACCTCTAGCCTTTGGTGTATTTTTTTAAAATTTTGGTTCACCTGTATGTTAAGGAGTTAAGTTTGGCATCCATTTCGCTGAACTAGTTTACATTATTGTTTAGGGGTCAGCTGAAGCCCTCTTCTGGGTGCAGGATTTTCTCACTACGTTGAAGACTTATTGGCGGCCTTGGACTGTTTTCTGCTCTTTGGCCGGGTTGTTGTCCTTTTGACAAATAGTATTTAAGTCATTACAATTCAGTATAACTATTAAATGATTACCAGTAATTTTACTGTCATTGAAAGATTTTTTGTGGAAAGCACATCAGTCATTTATTTTACACAAATTCTTTATAATATTCAAAAGTTGTAAGCCCTTAAGAAATGACTTGAACATCTGTTTACAATTTATCTATGCATATCATTTTATATGAAATTTGTTGTTAAGACATGTAATTAACAGTAGAGAAATTTAGTATATGACTTGTAAAATTGATCAAGATAGTGTGTCAAACAAAATTTAATGGCTTTATGAAATGAGTATTCTATAATATTCAGTATATTATTTAACAACAGACATTCAATTCTTTAAAGGGCAAAAACAGTAAGATTTAACCAAAGAGAACAACTTTACAAGGTCATTAACTTGAGACAGGCAAATGAACAGGTATCAGTTTTGCTCATTTTTGAAGGCTGTACTGTGACTAAGTCATTTGGTCTCTGGAGGAAAGTTGTCTTATTGGCCATCATACCACATCTTCTTATTTTTGTATAGGATGTGAGGTTATACTACTATTTTCAAGCCTTTAATCTTGATAAGAAGATCAAGAAAAGTAAACAGAAGAAACTATAATAAAATTAATTCAGAATAAAATGCTCCGCTGGGCGCAGCTTGATACGACCGCAGAGGTCGAACCCTGAACAGTTGGGGCAAGTATGGACACAACATTCAAGTTTGATACAGCTCTGGATTTGGATTGTGATTAAATATTTGACACAGCATAGGTTTCTGACACAGAATGAATGTGGTCTAAGAACTTAAAATTTTTTAATTTACCTATTATGGTCCAATATCCAAAATCTAAATACATGGTTAGATTCAGCATATCAAAGAATCCAAAGAATTCAATTTTTGATGAAATCAAACAAAGTTTAATTTTGGACCCTTTTGACCTCAATGTGGACCAATTTGATAACGGGGCCCAAAAATCAAAATACATGGTTAGATTCAGCATATCAAAGAACCCCATATATTCAATTTTTGTTGAAATCAAACAAAGTTTAATTTTGGACCCCAACTTGGACCAACTTGAAAACTGGGCCCATAATCAAAAATCTAAACACATGTTTAGATTCAGCATATCAAAGAACCCCTAAGAATTCATTTTTTGTTAAAATCAAACTAAAGTTTAATTTTGGACCCTTTGGACCTTAATGTAGACCAATTTAAAAAACGGGACCCAAAATTAAACATCTAAATACACGGTTAGATTTGACATATCAAAGAACCCCAATAATTCAATTTTTGATGAAATAAAATAAAGTTTAATTTTGGACCCTTTTGACCTCAATATGAACCAATTTGATAGCGGGGCCCACAAATAAAAAATCTAAATACATGGTTAGATTCAGCATATCAAAGAACCCCATATATTCAATTTTTGTTGAAATCAAACAAAGTTTAATTTTGGACCCCAATTTGGTCCAACATGAAAACTGGGCCCGAAATCAAAAATGTAAATACATGTTTAGATTCAGCATATCAAAGAACCCCATATATTCAATTTTTGTTAAAATCAAACTAAGTTTAATTTTGGACCCTTTGGACCTTAATGTAGACCAATTTGAAAACTGGACCCAAAATTAAAAATCTAAATACACGGTTAGATTTGGCATAACAAATAAATAAATGTGGTCAAAGATTTTACAAATCTAATGCGCCATACTGTGCAATTAAAGATTACTTCCTGAAATTTTTCAATATTTGAAATTTGAAAAAAAATAATATTTGAAGAATAATTCTTTTTAATTTCTGAAATCTGAAATGAGAATAAATTGACCCCCACAATTTCTTTTTACCCCCCCCCCCCCCCCTTTTTCCCCAAAAAAATTCTTTCCCTCAAGATATGGTCATAATCTCAATTCAAATTTCCAATGGAATTTGCAACCATAATTACCCATTTAAATTTACCATAGTGCTAACTTAATCTATTTTATAATAGAATTTAAATTATGGTGTCAAATCTTTCATATGGATTTTTTTGTAAAAAAAAAAAAGATGCAACATTTGCAGATATTTTTACTGGTCTTCCTTTATAAATATGCATTTCTTTAAACATAATTTAAAAGCAGTGTAAGGGAAGTAATCAAAACGTTGTATGTGGATTACCTCCCTTACACTGTTTTAAATTGTCTTAATTGTTCATTAACCATTACTTTATACATAATTTAAAAGCAGTGTAAGGGAGGTAATTCAAATGATGTATTTGATTTGTCTCCCTTAGACTGCTTTAAATTATGTTTTGTACTAAAGTATTTGTCCATATAAAAATGCTTGTTTTTTGCCCCATTTTTTGCCCCTAATTCCTAAAATTTTGAGGCAATTACCCCCAAAATCAATCCCAGCATTCCCTTTGTGATATGGAACCTTGTGGTACAATGTCAGAGAGATCCATACACTAACACACAAGTTATGTCTGGAAGTTACAAAAATGCTTATTTTTGGCCCCTTTTTGGCCCCTAATTCCTTAACTGTTGGTACCATAACCCCCAAAATCAATCCCAACCTTCCTTTTGTGGTATTGAACCTTATGGTAAAATTTCATAGGGATCCATTCACTTAAACTAAAGTTAGAGTGCGAAAACCAATGTGTCTTCGGACGACGACAACGACGATGACGACGACGCCAACGTCATCGTCATACCAATATACGATCGCAAAATTTTTTTGCAGTCATATAAAAAGGGCTTTACTGTTGAACACCATGATAGACAACGAAAATACAGGCACATGTATAACAACAAATATAACAGTTTCCATGAATGCTAGCAGTAACTTAAGTCAGTTAACAGTACATAATCTGCTGAGACTGGACATACAGAAGTTCTAAGTTGTATCTACACATTTGAATTCTAAGGTTATATTTTAACTGTCTTAATTATAATGTGATATCTTGTAGTTTTGAATTTTAACATGAGATTGTGTATACAAGTACCTTAAAGTTCTAAGATAAGATTTGTATATATCTCAGTTCAAAGCTAAGATGTCATGTGTCTAATTCATAATTACTTACTTGATTTCATATTTCTTTACAAGCTCATTTACACCAATTATTACAAGAGGGAAACTAAATCCTACAGCATATACTGCTGAATGTATGTTAGAAAATGACATTGGACTTTGATCCTTACTTCGTAGAAAAATATCACAGACACTAACAATCACTTGACCAACTAAACTGAAAAGAAAGTAACATTTCTTAGAAACATGGTACATTCAAGGCATACTTAAATAACATGCATCACAACACATTTATTTCATTAGTCATCAATAATAAGAGTTGTTTGGGAAACATCAATAAAATAGTTACCTAATATCATTCAGTTATTTAGAAGGACATGACCTTCAATACCAAGTAAGCACTCACAATAAGCAAGCTTTTACTAGTTTGACTAAGTCTGCACTAAGTATACAATTGGTTGAAACACAATCATTATGGTAAGAGTTAATCACTTTTCTTTAATTTTGTTAGCTTTATTCTGATGTTAGAAAAAACTGTTTTAAAAAGCAGTAACTGTTGAAACCAAAGTCACTGTTGAAATTAAGGTAAAATCCTTAGAGGAATTTCATTTTAATACCAAACCACTTTTTAATTGGCTTTAAATACAATTCAAACTGATCAGTTGTAAACAAATATGTTGACCTTTCAATGAGTTTGGGTGTTATACTGTAGAATTCATTGGTGTTTGTGCTAACATACAGAGGCAAAGGTTTAATTGATAATTAGAACAAGAAAATATGAAACAATACATCAAGTTAGAAGATTCTGATAAGAGCATAAACCACTATGAACAACAGTTTTTTTAAACACCACTGGATAAAAAAGGGTAAGCTGAATGAGGGCAAAGATCAAACCTTGCCAATGTCCACCTACAGACCCATACTATTGTTTTGCAATGGTTTAATTGTTAATGTGCAGAGTGTGTGGCATTCTCCCAACACATTCAGATTTATTGTCCCTAATCAGACTAAATGGGGGCCTTTTTGGTCATGTGGTCTAGATAGTTTGTCTACAGGGATGACTATCATGTCAACAATGAGCTTGAAGGTTAGAACCATGTTCATGGCGAGGTGTGTTTGACTCTTAACTGACAAGGATTGCCCTAGTTTTTCTGCTGAAGATCAGTGGTTTTCATCATTTACTTAGGCTTACTCCACCAATAAAAATAGCCAAATTAACTGAAAAAGACTTCAAATGCCAAATAATAGATAAACACTTTTTTTTAACAGACTAAATGGTGTAATTCAGTAGTCTTAAAAATATTGCAAAAATGACTTACACTAAAGGAATGACACAGGTCCATAACTTGTTTTTTGTTGGAGATTTCTGCCATAAATGGTCAAACCAATGTACAAAACTTACTGATGTACATACTGAAATTAAAAAAAAAAACATTCAAAAGTTGAAATAACCACTGAAGAAATATAGATTGCTACAAAATAATAATTTTATGAAAGTATCTAAAGGACAATAATGGAAAATTAATTAATTTCTTTACCTGTTGCTGCAAAAAATTTTAAGCAAATATTATGATGCAAATTTTGTGTACTGCTGATTTTATCAATCAAATTTTCACATTTATAACAAAGACATCACATTTATTTCTGAATTACCAGTATTTTCATTATCAGCAGGTTAGCATTTCGCTATACAAGTTACTTTTTAATAAAAAAAAAACCAACTGAAGCTTGATTATCTATATTACTATTAAAATGACCTGCAGAGCCCTGTACTAAAGTACTAAAGTCATAGGATTTATCAAATTATTGTCTCAGCGGCAAGACCCCTTTGGTTACTATCTGTGATACCGCAGTTGTAAATGGCATCTGGAATTTCTTATCAGTCACATGATTTTATCAAGTCCAGTAATTATAGCGCATCTGTGGGAAACCCGTAGTTTATTGATAACGAGGTGGCGCTGTATCATATAAAACTTCTACCTTTAGAAAGAAATAGAATGGTGTAAAAAACTTGAAAAACGGACGAGAATTGTTTAAGCTACAACAGTTTAACATGGAAAATTGTTTTATTTTTGCATATATTTGGTTTTTACTGTTTGTTTTAAACTGATCTAAAAGTATTTTCCAATTGAAAGCGAAGCTCGAGTAAAACAGGTAATAACGATGAAGCAATCAGGTTTCACATGATGTTTAACAAAATAGTGTAGACATATGTAGACATAAAAGATTTTACTGTTGAAATGTGCAAATTGTGAATATTTTAATTGACAAGAAAACACGTATGACTTTGTTTATTGTTATTTGAAAAAAGCAGGTCAAAACATATTTTTGTACAATTATCTTCTTAACTTTTAGAAATTGATTCTAAATCAAAAGAGGGACGAAAGATACCAGAGGGACAGTCAAACTCATAGATCGAAAACAAACTGACAACGTCATGGCCAAAAATAAAAAGACAAACAGACAAATAATAGTACAGATGACACAACATAGAAAACTAAAGACTAAGCAACACGAACCCCACCAAAAACTGGGGGTGATCTCAGGTGCTCCGGAAGGGTAAGCAGATACTGCTCCACATGTGGCACCCGTTGAGTTGCTTATGTTATTACAAATCCGGTAAATAGTCTAATTCGGTAAGTCACATTCGTGAAAAGGGATGGGTATTGTAGTTACGACATAAGGAACATATCCGATATCATCTGTGAAACGGTTATTCCATAACGGTCAACCAACTCGTGATGGCGTCCGTAAAATTTACGAAGCGATGACTTCAACTTCACCATTTGGAACTCTTGGTTTAATAGCTTCCTTGTGAGCAGCAATCCTCTATCAAGGAAATCATGATAGGAAACACAAGCCCGGGAATATCGTATCAATTGGGAGATATATACTCCGTATGCAGGCGCTGCTGGAATGTTGCTACATAGAAATGGAAAGTTCACAATTGGGAAGCTGAAATCATCTCTTTTGTCGTGAAGTTTTGTTTTCAACCGACCCTCATTGTCAATTTCTAGATGTAAGTCAAGATATGAGGCAGACTTAACTGTATCTGTAGTATCCTTTATCTCTAGTTCGATGGGATAGATTCGTTCAACATAGTCACCAAATTTTGTATTATTTAGTGAGAGAACATCATCTATATAAAGGAACGTAGAGTTAAAGGATATTGCTAACTTCTTATCTCTCTTCCTAAGAAGCTCCTGTATGAAGTCAGCCTCATAATAATAAAGAAACAAGTCGGCAAGAAGAGGGGCACAATTGGTTCCCATTGGAATTCCGACAGTCTGTTGAAAAACACGTCCTCCAAACGTAACAAATATGTTGTCAATCAAGAAATCAAGCATCTTGATAATGTCAGTTTCAGAGAATTTTTTGTTTGAATCAGAGTGATTCTTTACAAAGTAGGATTTATCCCTCCCCAAGACAAGATACTTGTATCTACGTTCGCCATTCTTTTTAATGAAACAAAGTAATACCAACTCTTTCAATTTGTCTTTTAGTTTGGAATGGGGAATACTTGTGTAAAGTGTAGAAAAGTCAAATGTTTTAATACTATTGCAAGATGAGAGAGTCTTAGATTGTATGTACTCTAAAAGATCTTTGGAATTTTTTAGTATCCACATCTGATTCACGCCACCTCTAGAATAGGCAGTTTCACAATAACTTTGGAGCCCAGCTTTGATTGCTGATAAAATAGATGTTAATAATTCAGAAAGAGGTTTCGTGGAGCACTTGGAAGACCCAGCAATATACCGTTGTTTGTAAGGACACTTATGTAGTTTAGGTATCCAATACAGTGATGGAAGATCCAGTTCTTCGTCTTTGGTTGAAATTCCAAAGGAACATAGAACAGACCTATGATTATCTAGGATTTCCTCTTTGGTAAGTGTCGTCAGGGTATATGTTGAGTTTCCAAGTGAATTGTCAATACCTAATTCATTAATCAAGCAGTTTATGTAATGATATTTACACACAAAAACGATGTTGTTTGGGGCTTTATCTGCGGGGATAACAACATATTTGTCATGGAGGTAGGACAAGTGTTTTGCAACATTTGGGTCTTTAAAAATTGATGTAGCGTGGGTATTGATATGCCCATTTAGTTTCTTAATTCGGATTTGTATCAACGACCTCACAGCCTTAATCCATTCGGAATGAGTATCTACGTCTTCTTTCTCGCGTTTAGCCCATTGCCTGGCATAATCCTCGACTGAATCCATCAGTATTTTGAAGTTGTATTTCCAATTGATGGATTTAGGCTCATTGCCTGGCATAATCCTCGACTGAATCCATCAGTATTTTGAAGTTGTATTTCCAATTGATGGATTTAGGCTCACGATATTTCGGACCTTAGGATAACAAATTTCGCAGGGAAGTGTTATCGACAATGTTGAGGTCTCCGGTAATAACGTGGCCAGCCGGATTATATGTGAATTGGGAACTAGCACAGGTGCAATCAGGAGGTTTAGACTTGAAGTCGTCAATGTTGAGATCCTGCAAAACGTGTTTGTAATTGAAAATTTTAGTTGCAATTGGTTTGGTATAGGTATATTTCGTTTATGTGGAAAATTAGAAAAAGGAACCTCACATGATTTCCTTTATCGTGAAAAATCAAAGTACGCAAGGGACATTACACTATCTATAAATATTGAAATTGAAAATGATCCACCTTATTTCTGCAATTTCATATGTGATAACTGTCGGCTTAAATTATCAAGATAGATAAAAAGACATAAATAGGGAAAATAGACTAAAATCAAGATTGAACAAGTGACTATATGCAAATTGTAATGTCGTTAGAATAAATCCAGTCCTCTTCTATACGTGAGATTAATGTGGCCATCGTAGAGCGGAATATAATGAGTGAATTATTCGGGTTACTTCGTAAGTATATCCGACAACAACCGGTCTGTTCGTATATTTCTGTGAACACGAAAATGACCGGAAAGTGTCAGTGATTTCATCGATCACATACCGAGAGTCTATCTTAATTTAATAAACTAGTAATCGGAAGATTGGCGGTAACGCAGCTGAAACCTTTGAACTGGCGTTGTTGTTATTCCTGTCAATATAATACTTCCATGGTATGAGTTAAAGAAAAAAAGAACCAAACATTCAAAATTGTTTATTTATTTTTTGTTTATGATTTAATTTTCTTTACAGTCCATTTTGAAATAATTGAGATATACTGAATAAATAATAATTTTTTTGTTACATATTATGTTATTTTGATTGATTTTGGTTGAATTGATATTGTAGAAGATAGTATGAGCTTAAACTGTCTGTAAATAAAAGCTATTGAAAAGAAAACTATAACCACATAAAAATAAAACTGCTAAAATTTCCAGGTTTTTCTGAGGCTACTTAATGCCATGTCACTATTTTACATTGTGAATGTATTCTATTCAAACTTTAAAAGAGATGTGAAATTTTATGACCTCAAATCTATCTTGAAAATAATAGAGAGACACAATTTATACAATTATGTAATATGGTTTTTGAACCTTAGAACAGGGGAAAATAATCAATAGAGAAGATTAGAGCTGCTTTAATGACTGCTTTCATTTCACCATCTATACTTACTAAGATACAACACAAAGAAAAACACGAAAATATTTTGAGCAATAGGTAAACTTTCAGAGAAGTCATCATACCAATACTGTGTTGAATTATTCTGACTGAAAAAAACAAAATTTTATTAGAATTACCTGTATTCCATTAAATTCATAAACCATTTATTTAAGTCAGAGAATGGACTTATATTAATATAAAATAAGATAGAGAATAGATTAATGTTATTAATTTCACAACATGCAACATACTGCATAAATTCTGCAGATTTAAAAAAGTTTCATATCATGCAACATGCTCCATAAATTCTGTAGGTGTGAAAGGATTTGTGTCTCATTGATGCTTACCCTACATCTTCTTTTATTCATATCAATAATTCAATCAAAGTGCTTGTGAGAACTGAAGGGTAAAATTTGCATTCATTTTGAAAAATTACACATTGCATTGTATGAAGCATTATGAACAAAGGCAGATAACTCAAATTTGAAATATTTCTTTAATAATAAAATCATCGATAATTTAAGAAGAGATACTGTAAATTCAGAAATTATTGCGAGGTTTTTATTATTGCGAATAATGCGAATGAGTGATAATCGCAATAATAAAAACTTGCATTCTGGTATCTGATACATATAAGTGTATGCAGATTTTCCTGAAATCACAATAATAAATCTCACATTTTTGTCCTTTCTTCAAAAATCGCAATAATAAATGCACGCAATAATTTCTGAATTTACAGTACCATGCACAATTAATGTAATTTTCTTGACAAGTATGGTGAAACATATCATTTTTGTAACTTGAATATCTGAGTAAATAATTCATTTAAAATGTCTTGGACTTTTCATGGATAGGATGTATAGAATGTAATGCTCAATGCACACATTTTTTTTTTTTATCTCTGACAATAGTAGTGATAAAGTCTGAAAAATTATCACGCCAGCACCTTAAGGGATTTGAAATTAAACATGAATGTAACAATTACCCCAAAAATGTTAATTGTCCAAAATGTTTCTAATAAATAGGCTTTACATTAGAATTTTTTACAGATGTATAACTATATAAAAAGCTTATCAAGAATGAACAATAAATTTAAGATATAGATTATAACTAAATCTTATCTTTGTTAGCTACCTACTGCGAGAATAACAACTGTCATTACAAGCAATTTAAATTATGATACAGGTAAAAAAGACATTAAAGAGGTTTTAATAAAAAATAAAACTTAACAAAAGCAGTGGTCAATTCTAATTGCAAGACAAATTACCAGAGACTTAATAAAATCCCCACTATAATTGTTTACAAACGTCTTTAGCAAAAAAAGTCACAAGTTTATTTTGCGATATTAAGTTCAAAAACATGAAAGTTACCATATTTTTGCTTTATAAAGCATAAAAATGTATAAAGTTTGTTGAAATATCACTCATTAACAATAATGCTGCATTAATGCAAAATATACATTGATGGTTATTTCTTTGGTCTTGTGGATAGTCGCCTCATTGGCAATGATGCCACATCTCTTTAATTTTATATTTATGTGACTCACTGTTAATTTTCCTACAAATAATAATAAAATGGAACTGAACTTACCTAAATGAGTATAATGAACATGAAGAAATGTCACATAATGAGTTCAAGGTCAAACCAAAACATAGTATGGAAATACAGGTGAATGGTACAAAACGTAACAAAAAACAACACAGGAATTGTAGCACCATCTAAAAAAAACAAAGAAATCTAATATCATTTTAAGTAGCACACAATATTAATATAGTGTATAGCATGGTCAAAATTTATAAATTCATTCCAACAACCATATTTTATATACATTCATATGAAAGTTTAAACCTTTTCAGCAATGTGCTGAAAAAAGTGATTTTTTTTTTAAAAGTGCCTTTAGTTTTCTCGTTTGAATTGTTTTACATTTGTCATTTCGGGGCCTTCTATAGCTGTCTATGTGGTATGGGTTTTGCTCATTGTTGAAGGCCGTACTGTGACCTATAGTTGTTAACTCTATGTCATTTGGTCTCTGGTGGAGAGTTGTCTTGGAAATCATACCACATCTTCTTATTTTTATAATCACTTTTGTAATTGTGATGATCAACATATTAACCCTTTTTTTTTGGTGGTCCCGATGACAATTCATAGGTTCACTTTTCCAAACGTTACCTGCAATCTGCATGAAATTTCCTTATTAGCTGCGGCTTATTTCCTCATCATTTGAAAAATTGCAAATTTTTATGAGTCATTATCATATTTACATAAGGAGTTTGCACTGTTTTTAATTAGATCTTATTCAATTTTTGGTATATTTTTTATTTTTTCTATGTATAATCAGGAAAAAAAGAGACTACAAGATACATACAATTTCTTTTGGTAATCAACTGTGAATTGTTTGAAAATTTCCACCAACAACACAGAATCACTTGAATATATAAATAACACATATCTGAGAGGGTGATAGAGCAGATTGTTACCCCGAGAAAACATTGTCAACTGAGGCGAAGCCAAGGTTGACAATGTCTTTTCGAGGGGTAACAATCTGCTCTATCACCCTCTCAGATATGTGTTATTTAATTTATTATACTGAATGTTCTTTTATTACTGTCTATCAAATTTCAAATTCAAAGTAATAACTTATGTCGTCTTGTACATAACAATCATCCGTATTTATTAAAGAGCACATTTGAGCAAGCGTCTCCGTGAAGGGTAATAGAGTATTTACCCATGTGATAGAGTAAATTGTCTCCCTCGTATTAACCAATCAAAATCTGGCATTTTGACATGAAGTATATTAGTATCAGATTATTACATGGTATTTTTCATATCGCATGTATTATCAGCCCTAGGTTCAATATCAGCCCAAGAGCTGCATGGCTTAAGGGCTGATATTGACCGAGGGCTGATAATACATGGGATATGAAAAATGACATGTTATGATCTTTTTATCATATGCTTCAACAATGGAGAAAAATAAAAGATTAATATATTAATCCTTTTACCTGGTTCTCAAATAGAAGTTCAAAGAGTGAAAAGTTCACGGACATAGGACCCCAAATGTAGTACATTCGATATGAAATCTTTCTATCATATGCCTCAACAGAGAAGAAAAACAGCAGTATGAAATATTTTAAATATGGACTATAAAAAAAAAATTATTCAACAATAAACATAATGAACACTGTTTGGAAAAGTCAACATTTTTAAAGTAACTTTCCTAATTATGTTTGAAACTTTTAAAAATGGATTTATGTTATCATTTGTTTGTTGTTTTTTTTTTTCATTTTACACAATATACTATCCAGTATCCAAATAATTGTTCTGTACCCTACGTTGTAATGTTTTTTACTGAAAACGTACCATTTAGCTGTATTTTCCGGAATTTGCAGAGTATCACCGGAATGCCATGCGATAACGTTACGGAAAGGCATGTGATAAAAGTCGAAGCATGTGATAAACTTTTCATATCAGCCCGCTAAGCACCAATTCGAAAAATATGGAATTCTTGTAAATTTAATGCTATTATCATACGGTAAAAATCATATTTTATTTAGTCTAAGTATATGATTATAATAAATATCAAATTCTAAAAACATTCACCTGTGTACTGACATATTCAGGATTTTTACTCGTAGCATTATTCATCACTCGAGGGTCTACTGGATTCCCCATCAAAGTGAGGCTAAGAGCAGGTACTACTATGAATAACAACCATAACAGATGTTGACTGGATAAAACTGGTGGTAACAGGACAATATTGGCCAAAACCTGTGCCAGGCTGATTGAAAGGTGGTAGCATAACATCAAATAAAAACAATTTCTTTGTGACATCAAAAATGTTCTGGCCTTAAAAAACAAAACAAAATTTTTTTACTGTAAAAAAAAATTATAATAAATACAAAAAGATCCATACCATGATTTTTAAGCTTTGAAAAAAAAATCTGTTCATTCAATATTAACAGGTTTATGACCAGAGTTGAAAGCAAAGCAGTTCTCAATGAACATTTATTTTCGACAGCTATTGGAAAAGTCTGGCATATTGTAAACATATTCACTTCATTTATGAGGATTAAAGATAAGAATGAATGAATAAATGAAATGAAATGAACTGACCTCAGCAATAATCTGGACAAGACCTATATAATCATCTCGTCTAAACATGAGAGGACAAGGTATACTGATCATCACGTTAGCTAATTGTGAAGGAGTTAATCTGTCATCACACCATCTTTCCACATTTAAGGCTTGTTTGGCACAAATTTGTGGATAAAGAGGTTCCAATGAAAAACTGAAATAAAGTTATTTCCTAAAATAGTATTTTATAGACATCTAGCTCTGTATTGTCTTTTTGAAATCTTTTTGTAATGTAAGGTTCATAAACTCCTAAAACCCATCGTCAACTCTAGAAATACAAGATAATTTTATCACAATGCACAATTTCAAGTGATATCAAAGTATGGAAAAAACAGATTTATATGTGTAAAGAAGCTATCAAAATAATTGAATGGAATAGAGTACTTCGAAAGTACTGTATATAAACTCATTTTAGAGCATGCTTTTTTCAGATTTTAACCCTTTGGAGTTGATTTTTAGCCAATTATTTTTGTCATTTTCCAGCTTCACTCAGATATTCATATAAAAGAAGATCCAAGTTTGACATATTATTTCTTTTTATTTTCACACTATTTTTCTTCCTGGAAAAGTCATTCAAAATGTTGTTTTACAGTATGCATACCTGCAATCAGCCTGCATAAACATATTAGTATTATTTATATTTAATGAGCTGCCAACACATAAAACTACTTCATCATTCTCCTGCATGATCCTCATCATTTCTTCAGTGGCTGTAGATAAATTATAGAGAAATAAGTTGGCACTTTTAAAAGATATACAACTTATAATGTAAATTACCTAGGTCATGTGATAATTTTACATATATAAGGGGATTTTTCTTTGAGATCTTTAATATGTATAACATTACAGATATTAATCACTGAGTAATATCAAATCAGCAAGTACTAAATTTATATTCTTATTTTGTTTGTTTTTGTCACCTCCCTTGGCTATATCATATTGAAAATACCTTGCCATGAGCTAAATATAAAATATAATACAGTCAAACCTTGTTGTGTCGAACTCAGTTGTATTGAAAACACGGATGAGTCAAAGTAATTGCTCTATCCCATCAAAATTCCTGTTTAATCAATGTATTTTAACCTCTGATGAGTCAAACTCGGATGATTCGAATTCTCGGTTAAGAAGAATAAATCTTATATTCCCTTCGATGGGAAATTTATGTAAACTTCCCCCTGATGTCTTGAAGTTCAAAAGTAAGAAATTTCGAAAAAATGCAGACTTAGATAAAAATTCAAATTGGGTGTTTTTCTTATGTAACCTAATTATTTTCATAAGTGATTAAAGCTGTGTAAACATACTTATTTGTATATTAGTTAAAATGACATGTTTATTGTGGCCTTGTAATTAACACCTTTGTTAATCGTCCAACCGGAACTTTAGTGTGATGAACATATTTCACCTGATATAAAACCGAAACGAATTCAAATGACCCAAGCTGAGATTAAATGAATCATTTGAATTAAAATTCGTTAAGTACAATAATTAAAAGGATTAAGACAATTATGAAAAATTTACAATAATTGAATGGAAAGCAGAGGACCCTCATCAGTGATCTCACAGGACTTGCTTCGTTCTGCGAGTGATTCCATAATTTATAGTGGCTGACCTTTGTAAATATTTGTGTATTGATTTTATTTGTGAATGTTTTGTATCTGTACTTGAGTGTTTAATTACTATGATGGAGCAAAAAATATGGAGCTTTAATACACAATCATAAATTGTCAGATAAAAAAGGCACAATGTTCCAAAATATTATACCATATTTCATGCATTCCAAATACATTACGACACACTCAACCCCGGATGATTCGAATACTTTCGTACCATCCCTTCGACTTAAACTTAACGAGATTCGACTGTATAACAAAATGTATAATATTTGTATTTGGTTGCAACATCAAACTAAATGCTTCCTAAGAAATGTTTAAATGAGGAGGAGAACAGTAACACGTTAAGAAAAAATTAATATACCCTGCATAACATGACCCAACACAATAAGTCTGAATATTCAACAAGCAAGCTCACAATGACAGACATGTCACCCTACTCCAACATGTAATTCTGGTTCTGATCTAACCAGTGTATGCTCTAACTTCATTTTGCAGAAAAGCAGGAAATAACAATTTCATAGACTTTGGTTTGAATCAGGGTTCACTGTGAATGAAAATGAGATGATGAGATGTTGTGTATGAGATGCCCTGAAGGGTTTTCTAATCAAATATAGTCTTTGGTGATACTGGTATTTGTTGCTTCTCTGACATGAATGTAACCTTTAGCAAAAAGAGGTAAGAATGATCAGCTTTTGAGTCAGAAAGAAATATTGATGTTTTGATAAATGTGAAATTTTAACACAAAGTCCATAAACAAAATTTTAAAAATCATTCAATTTAGGAACAATCCATCTAGGAACAAGTCATCAATTTAACTTACTTTCTGGTGTACAATCTGTGAACAAGTTAACCAACAAAGGAACATTATCTATGTTCTGTAAATGTGGTCGGATATTTTCTATCCCTCTTGGAAGCTTAGCCTGAAAAAGATAAAACTAAAAAATATAAATGGCAAATTGACAAGAAATGTTGAATATGTAAAATGAATTTACTAACATATAAATACTCCCTGGAACACTCTAGGTATCCAGTAAAAGTTTTATAATGACAGTGTTGTATGAATGACATAATAATAATAGACAGATAGAAAGAAATGCATGAAAGTCTATTCTATCAAGATCAAACTACATGTTAATTGAATTTTAATAATAAACTGTACATATTATAGAAGGTAAAACATGACTAAGTTGTCTTTTTCAGAATATTAACACCTGTTCCTATGGTTATTAAAATTTTAATGAAGCTGTATAAAATAAGTTATTCTGTATGCTAAATACTTATTTATACACAATTTACAATATGGAGCTAAAAGATATAATGCATCTTTTTAATTAAAGACATATAGTCACAAAACAAATAATTTTGATAGGTGCAAAATATTAATTAATTTCATTGAAAAAAGTCCATGCAAAGAAAGAAGAATGTTTAAAAGCATTAATTTGCATAACATATTTTTTTGGAATTGTAAAGTCAAGTAGTTTTTGAATTCAATAATGTCAAGATATATTCAAGTGCTTGTTCCATTACATTATAAACACCATGCATGGTTAATATTGATTTTATAGTTGTAGAAGGATTGTTCAGGACAGAATGTCTCATGTTTCACTATTTATTCATACTTTATTTCAGGCCATGTTTTATAAGTATTTATTCAGGAAATCCATTCGAACTGCCATGTAACCCTGAATTTTTAATGTTTTATTTTTTCAATTAATTCTAAAGGTTGTCACACACCAAAGCTAATATAGTGATGATTGGATGAAAAGACTTATAGGATATAGCATAAAACATTGCTATGAGCTAACATGGCTGATGTACATTTATTATAATTGAGAAGATTTATATCATAAGGGCAATCATTGAGCTCTATCATCCCAAGTTACCATCACTTGGGATCCCCACCATACCAACCTACCCTGTTATCTAAAGGTCCAGTAATGCTATCCTCAGTATTTTCAGTGAGATAACTGGATGCATGACGACTTTCTCCATCACTGTCTTTATTAGATAAACAATAATCACTGTCTTCTTTACATTCAATGTCATACAACAGTTTCTGTTTCCCATCAACAGACACTTCATCTAATATTCCATTTTCAGAAATCGTCACTGCTTCGTTCATTTCAAATCTAACTTGTGAAGAACTAAGATTGACTATACTAGGTGCACTTTGACTTCTTAGCTGTAGTTTGCTATATCTAGCTTTAAGACTAGTAAATGATTTGTCCTTGGCAGCATCAGAGGAATGACGGCTAGAATGTCTAGAATATCCCTTAGCTATTTCTGTTTGTGAGGTGGCAGTTTCTAAAGGAGATTTGGTTTCCTGTTCTGATAACATGGATATATGACAGTTCCATCCGGCCTCTAATCCCATTTTCTCAGAAAATACCTGAAAAAGAGAAAAGATAGGTATCCAATGATGTCATTTCAGTTTGAGTTAATTCCCTTGTCTGCCAATTTGGAGGGATAAACAGTTGATTTTATTATTTCACTAACCAAATTGAAACATGAGATACACACAAGGGATGAATTAAGCAAGGATAAAAGAAACAAAAAATATTCAGAAAAGGGAAGTAACTCTTGCTCAAATTGTGTCAATCGAAATCTATCTATTGGTATCAATCATCTAAACACTTATTCATTGGACTACTTACTTATTAATATACATATGTTCATTTAAATTTTCAATATAAAAATTAACCCTGAAAAAAAAAATTTATGATACAATATCGGTAGCATTACAATTTCTTGAACAGAGATTTTGTTTAAACACTTTTTAGAACATCTATTATAAATTATATAGTGTGGGTCATTGCTGGAACATTCTAAGTATAAAGACAGATTTTGATGGTTCACTGTGTAGTTATAAAATTCACTCCACTTACCCTGCTTCTGACTTCATTCTCATTTGAGAAATGAACAAATCTAATACAAGCAACTTCTAATTTATCAATTAATTGCACAAATTCCTGCAAAAAAAGAATAAACCAGGTTCTGTTTATTGTTCACAACCAGAAATTCAGTGATTCAGAATCTAAAGGACTATGGGTATTTTCATTGTTTGTACCCTAAAATGAAAATAATATCACATATTTCCTTTCTTTAGGACATTTAAATCACAATTTACAAAAAACAATTTTTGGAGTCAGTTTTTGAAAAGGTTATCAAGAATGCATTGTATTTTAAAGTCATATGAAACAAGTTTCTTGCACATTTTTAAAATTCATTATGAATCTTTAACATATTCTTGACAAATAATATTTCATTCAGTGATTGTCAATCGCAAGCTAATTAACTTTCGAGTTTGGTGTCGAAGTTTACCGGATCGTGACATAAATAAACAATCAACACAGAGCTAGAGCAAGTGGAGTACATGACAAATAAGTGAATTAATAGAGCTATGATATTTATTTTTTGTATTTTCCATGAGTTCCCATTTGTTAATTAAACTTTTCCTTTATAGTGGTAAAATGATTTCTTGTATTAAATTTGTTATTTAAGAATCAGTTATTACAATTAACCTTCCAGTACACGTTTGTTTACATTCTTTCATCACAGTTTTCCCCTCGCACTTGAGCTTTTCGGTGGCCGAAGTTCTGACGAAAGGTCTCATAGTTAAAGTCACTGCATACGGGAAAAATTTCGTGGAAATAGTGTACGGGAAGACAATAATTCAATAGCAGTATATGTATGAAGATTTTGATAATATAAAAGATTTTCTTTTACAAGAAAGTTCACGTACAGTAGTTTTATAGCCATTCAAGTATATAAAACATATTCAACTTTTTTTTTTAAATTTGAAGTTTCATATGACTTTTAGATGGCAAATTCTTTAAGAACTAATTTCCATTGCACATGATGATATGTACCATCTGTTATTCCACTGATAAAGATTTGAAGGTGGAGGTTTGAGTCTCAACTGCTTTATTGATCATGATTGATAGAACACACATGTTAACATGTCTCAAGTCAGGAACCTCATTATTGTTTTCTGTCTTTAGTTTGATCGAAATGGCTTTTTTTTCACCTTTAGGTAAATTAGTATTGATGTTTTTTAGTTTCTGTTAAATTAATTCACATATTATCAGGACTTGGTTGATTTTTATCTGAGTTGTCAAAAATGTCAACCAAATTAAACCACTTCGAAAAATGTCTGTACCAAGTCAGGAATATGGCAGTTGTTTTTCACTTGTTTCATTGATTGATAGTGTTTGATTTTGTCAGTTTTTATGGACTCTCCTTTATATGAATTTGCCTTGGAGTTCAGTTTTATTGTTATACTTTTTTTTATGTCAGATTGGAAAAAATCTTTATAGTAATTCTGATATATAAGTATCCCAAAACATTTTATATTAAACTGAAAATGATCATTTATAGCAGCTATACCTGTCTGGCCTGATACTGCATTGTAACCATTCCTATAAATATTTGATTGGCCTGTACATTACAACATCCTATCACATCATCAACCGATGCTGTACTGGTTGTGTCAAACAGAGAATCCATGCTATAGGCCCTGTTATCTTCATATAATGAAGTTGAGTCAAAAGGCATCATATGGATATCTGAATCTCTGAAATCAATAATTTTCAAGCATTAAATTTCTCTTGTGAATTGAATTAATTTTAGTCTATATATTACATCCTGAACAATATATGTATTATTATATTGCCTAAAAAATTTGTACTCAGGTAAAATTGCAGCCATGGTAATTTTTCCAATTCATTTGGATAAAAACATAATTTGCATTTTTGTGGCCATTTTTTCTTTGATATTAAAGGTGAAAAAAAAAATAATTGCCTTTGAAGAAGAATCTTTAGAAAATAAACTTTGCTTCAAAGACAAATCATTCATTTCAACATTGAAGATCTGGTCTTATACTCTTAATATTGTAGAAGTACCCTTTCTACTAGTATAGTATAAGATGTCAATCCCTTGATATTTTGAATATATTCATATTTATCTTCTTTGAATACGGTAGTTGTAAAAACAGCAGTGAATTTCATATCTGACCCATGCTAAAATACTATTTAACCTTCCATGAACAAGAACAAAAACGGACATGCATTTAGAAGGCAGAATGGAAACAGTCAAGAACAATTTGTATACATATGATATTCTATTTGTTGAACTTAAATCACAATGTCCTTTCAGTTATTAAATTAACTGCAATAAGGCATAAAGCTATATTTTTCTCACTTTTCCAATATGCCCTTTTTCTCAGTCAAGAGTTATTACAATTGAGTTTATAAACATATTTATATATATAAACACAAATAATAAAAGTATACATGGCTTTGACATTTAAAAACTAGAGGCTGTGTCACTCATCTAGCTCTATGTGCATAATCACCAATTGACTCTCTCCAACATTGTAGACAAGAATAGAATTCATGACAAAAATTTCTTTTTTGTTGATCTTGTATTGCTGATCATTTTGTCTGTTAAGTTTCTCTCTATCTTCTTTAATTTTTGCTTAAAACACAAGAAGGTAAAAAAAATCCTCATTTAGGGGCAATCACTCTTATGAAGAGTGACAGTCTACTAACTATATCGGCAAAATTTGACTTGTTTGTGGATCTTGCCTTGCTGATCTTTTTTGTTTTTTAAAGTTTATATTTATCTATAATAATTTTTATCATATAAGGCAAAACACAAAAAAATATGGTAAAAATCGTCATTAAAGGGCAACAACTCCAATAAGGAGTCGTCTGAAAAATTTCCTCCATATTGTCTTAAATGTAGATCTTTTCTTGCTGATCATTTTTGCTTATTTAAGTTTCTATTATAATTTTTAAGATATAAGGCATCAAAGGGAAATAACTCTAATAAGGATTCCAATGAAGATTACGACCGTGTATACTTATTCGTAGATCTTGTCTTGCTGATTATTTTTGCAACTTAAAGTTTCTCTCTATCTATTAAAGTTTTCAAGATAAAAGGCAAAAATGAAAAATAAACTGTTCACACAGAGATATGTCTCGCCTATTTGTTATTTTGATAATGCAAATGTTGAAATTAAAATAGCAATACTTTAACATGTAAGTTATGCAAATATTCAAAGTCTATGAACCATGACTGAAGGTACAGGGCTAAACAATCTCCATTGAAATGAGATATGCCAATGCTAATACAACTGCATACCAAATACCATTGACTTTTCATAAGTCGTTCCCTTTAAACAAACCTAAACACAAACATTAACTTGTAAACTATGTAAAAGTTTCAAAGTCAATGAACCATAATGAGGGGGTGGGGTTATATAATCTCCATGGAAATGAAACTTGCAAATACCAATACATTTGCATACAAAATATCATTAACTTAACATTAGCGGTTCATCTTAAACGGACCTAATCACAAACTAATACATATGTAAACTAAGCAAAAGTTTCAAAGTCAATAGACCATGACTGAGGGGGCGGGGCCAAATATTCTCCATGGAAATGAGATGTGCTAATGCCTATACAACTGCATACCAATTAACATTAGCCTACCACTAATGGTCCCCCTTAAACTGACCTAATAACAAACTAATACATGAAAACTAAGCAAAAGTTTCAAAGTCAATAGACCATGACTGAGGGAGCGGGGCCAAATAATCTCCATGGAAATGAGATATGTCAATGCTTATATAACTGCATACCAAATATCATTGACCTACCACTAGTGGTTCACCATGAACTAGACCTAATCACAAACTAATACATTGTTGTCGCCGCCACCGCCATGGCAGCCGGCGGGGAAGCAGCATACCTATGTCTAGCTTTTTGACTCCGTCAAGGCGAGACAAAAATTGAGAATGGAAATGGGGAATGTGTCAAAGAGACAACAGCCCGATCAAAGAGCAAAAAACAGCCGAAGGCCACCAATGGGTTATATGAATTGAATTTATGTTCAATTAAAGATTTCTTGCTGTTGTGCAATACTTAGTAAATCTGTTGTCAGACTATAAACAAATAAAGTTCAATTAATTCTCAATGTCATATTAGAAATTTATGAAAATAAAAAAGGAGCATACATCAATAGATATAAACAATTCACCAAAGTTTCATGAGAATTGGTGACAGCATTTTTGAGTTATTGTCCGAAAACTGGAAAATCACCCCTTTTTTTAATGAATAAAACCCCATAACTCAGAAATGTAAAATGTAAAATTTATAAAATTCTAAAGGGAGCTTACATCAATACATACAAACAATTCACCAAAGTTTCATAAGAATTGCTGAGAGCATTTTCGAGTTTTTGTCCAAAAACTGGAAAATCCCCCCTTTTTTATGACTAAAACACTGTAACTCGAAAATGTAAAATCGAAAATTTATAAAAATCAAAAGGGAGCTCATGTCAATAGATATAAACAATTCACCACAATTTCTTGCAAGTTGGTGAAAGCATTCTTGAGTTATTGTCCGAAAACTGGAAAATCCCCCTTTTTTTAATGAATAAAACCCCATAACTCGGAAACGTAAAATCTAAATTTTATAAAAAACGAAAGGGAGCTCACGTCAATAGATATAAACAATTCACCAAAGATTTATGCATATTGGTTAAAGCATTTTTGAGTAAATGTCCGACATGTTGACGACAGACAGACGGACGGACAGACAAACGGACAACGGTATACCATAATACGTCCCATAAACGGGCGTATAAAAATGTGTACTAGTTAAGTGAAAATGGACGTCATACTAAACTCCAAAAGACTCCTTAAACTGATCTAATCACAAACTAAAACATGTAAACTAAGCAAAGTTTAGAAGTCAATAGACCATGACTGAGGGGACAGGGCCAAATAATCTCCATAGTAATGAGATGTGCAAATGCTAATACAACTGCAAACCAAATATCATTGACCTACCACTAGTGGTTCACCATAAACTAGACCTGATCACAAACTAATACATTGTTGATGCCGCCGCCACCAGAAACAGCATACCTATGTCAATAACACCTATAAGAAGTCGCCTGACAGTTTTAACGTCAATGAGCAATTGGTAGAACTCAACTTTCTGAACAATATTGTTTTATGTCAGAATTTCTCTATTTATAACGGTTTTCAAAATAATAGACAAAACTTGCATTTTACCCCTATGTTCTATTCTTAGCCATGTCGGCCATGATGATGATTGTGGCCAAGTTTGGTTAAATTTGGTCCAGTAGTTTCAGAGGAGAAGATTTTTGTAAAAGTTAACAGATGACGACGGAGCTAAAAAGGCACAGCATTATGAAAAAGGAGTAGTAAACAAAAGGTATGTTGTAGGACCATGCTTATTTGATTTTACATTTTACACTCTTTTCCCTAACAGTGCAAGTTAACTTACATAGATGTTGAGATATCACGACTCATACAAGCCCAGTTCTGTGGGAGCTGAATGAAGGCACCATCTAGACCCACTGATATTTGTTGTGTTAGTGGTCTATAACTGAAAGCTGTGCAGTAAGATGCCATACTTGTTCTATGATAAAAATCTAAAATCTTCTTTCTGCAAAACAAAGTTTCACTTAGCCTTTAAAATCCTTCCCAATGTTAATGATACTTCAAATAGGTTGCAACATTGTTGGTCTAATAAGTGAATTTGCAGTAAAATGAAATTATAAGTGACCCTACCACCATCCATTCTTTTTTTACATTCTTGTATTCTTTAAAATTACAGTATATTTTTTAAAACTATGTTTATTCTATAACTCACAATACAAATTCAAACCATTTGAATATATACTGATGAACTTCATAATTCACTTTACAAATAGTATATAGTCCTGCAGTTTCATTTATTAAAAGGGGCCTCGGTGGCCGAGTGGTCTAAGTAGTTACTACTGTAATCACTAGCCAGTCAACACTGACGTTGCGAGTTCGAACCCCCCTCGTGCAGGTGCACTCGACTCCAATCCTAATTGACTAGGATTGTCAGTTTTCCTATCTAAGGTCAGTGGTTTTCTCTGGGCACTCCGGCTTCCTCCACCAATAAAAACTGACCGCCACGAAATAGCCCAAAAGCGGTGCTTAAAAGTGGTGTTAAAACACCAAAAATCAAATCATTTATTAAAAAAAATTTCATATCCAGGAACTAAATGTTAATGTAATGTTAAGTTAATGTTAATGTTAATGTTAATGTTAATGTTAATGCTAATGTTCAGATCAGTATCTTTGTTTAATATCTTATTTATCTCAACACTTTGTTTAAAAAGCTCATTGCAAGGTTCTGGATAATGCTTATTGATGAAGACCTTTATCATTCATTGTCAAGTCAGTCTCTTCCTTTACTTTTTTATTCCTTGATAAAAAAGTTTTTCAAGTAAGAGGAAATATAAATACCTATCACTTTCTGTGAATGTACTGACATCCTCTCCATTCCAGTAATCACTGCAACAATCCAGTAAAATGTCAGCTGTACCCTGGGAAAGAACCTGGCTCATTCCTGAATTATAAATAATATAGCTTCATTCACTACAGTAGACATAAAATAAAACAATGTGCATTAAGGGAGGTAACTCAAATTAATTTCTGATGAGACTATCATTTCATAGCATATCAACCTTTAGACCTGGCTCTGACTTCAACATGTTTGAACATCAAATATATGAACCATAAATTTGTTACATAATTTTTTACAGATCGTTTATCTAAAAATTTATCAACTTTTCATGGACCTTCAATACCAATGTGTCAGTTTTCAAGTACTATTATATATATTCTGCTTTTGTTAAATATGAAACAAAAATCAAATGTAACTTTGATTATATTGCTAAGTTACCTGAATTGCTATCTTTCAATACAACAGATACCATATTTGGCATAGGTATTTTGTGCTGAACAAAAGATTTAGACCTGTTGACCTTCTCTTTGGCAGATTCTTCAGCTGACTGAAATAATCATGATACACATTTGATGCCGGTGTGTTGAACATAGATAAACTAGATATATAAAAGAAACCTGAATTGTGGAGCATATTATGTAACAATGAAAAGCAACTATATATATATGTATAAATTCGTTATTTTTTATGAAGCTTTACTTTACAGATATCTGTGAATTCTGGTATCAACAACTTAAATTGTGTCTAACATACTATGATAATGTCATTAACTTGCACAGTTTAAATAATAAGATGAAATGACATCAAAGCAAAAAATGTTTCCCCTTTTAAATAGTATTTAAGGATGTTCGCTACTCTGTTTCAAAATAACAAGCTTTTAAAAAGACTGTTATAAATTGATAGTATATAAATAAAGGAACTTAAAAAGCAGAAAAAATGAAGGATCCGTGTGCTTGTTTTCGAGATATAAACCATTGAAAATTTGGCGGGAAATGATTCTCTCTAGATTTTTCATTCATTTAACATTGGCACCTTTTTTCTTTCAAAACTATGAAAAAATAACAAGGATTTTATAAGATTTTCAAAGATGGCATTTTAAACTAAATGTAATCAAATTATGGTAAGAAAAATGGGGGTAAGCGGGCAAAATTTTTAATGGCAATAAATGGATAAAACCAGAGGATTCCAAATATCTGGCAAAAATTTTAAAATAAGAGGGGCAAACATCCTAAAGTTACTTAATTTTGGAAATAAAAATATGATGAGAATTTGGAAGCTTTATACAACAGTATTATATTGAACTTACAACTTGTCTGTACATTCCTAATGTTCTATCCAGTTCAAAAATGTCTAATGCCTTTTTGGTAAATCCTATCTGCCTTGCTAATTCACACAAGCACCTAAAATGAGAAAATAATCAGTTTCAATTTGGAATCAAGGAATTAACATTAATCAACACAAGGTGTGCAGCTAAGAGCAATATAATACATGTTTTGTTGTTATGCCTCAACAGAAGTTTCTTATTGATACAAGTAAAGGCTACAAGGATCATGTATGTCTCATCTTACATCATATACTGTATTTAAATCATTTCATAATTTAGTTAGGTATATCGTTCCATCATACAAGCTGCAATTAAAATTCATATCGCCATATCTTTCTTTATTTGGAGAATGGGGTGTTAATGACAGGTCATTGAAGGTTTTTGTACCGGTAATTCTATTCACAATTTTTATAAACTCTGGACAATTTAGCACTTGTCATATTGTATAGACACCTGTCTACTGATGAATGGTGCCCTTTTATAAAATGGTAATTTTTTGTTTGGGTTGCTGTCTCATTGATTTGTACCCCCAATTCTCCTTTCTTTCGATCAAAACCAAACCTACCTCTACTTATAAATATTTTTCTCACCATAGAATGAGGAAAAATTACAAAGGATATGATTGTGTTACTATGGCTCAAATATAACAGCACTGTTGATTTACACCAAACAATGTTCCCTTGAAATCATATAAGATAAGTCTGTTTCACAATCATCGCTTCTTTTTTCTTTCAGTACATCTAGACAAAATCAATATGTCTACTCTGATATAATATGATAGGAGCATAACTTCAAAAAGTTTTTTTTATATTGAGATGCCTTTAAACTATTTCCTGTAGCTCAACTGATATAAAAATAAGGAGATGTGGTATGATTACTAATGAGACAACTATCCACCAGAGACCAATGGACAAGGATGTAAAAAAACTATTGTGTTATTGACAGCATCAATCTCTTCTCTTGACAATATTACTGATGCCACAATATGATTTTTATATTCTACTAAGTGAAGTTATAGTCTTTCCAATGCCAAATATGCCACAGGATATGTAGTCAAAACTATCTCTCTACTACAACTATAGTCTATTTTTACCAAATGCCACAAAATTCTTACCTCACAAATGTTCTGTGATGTCTGTTGTCATTGTCTGCTTTCACTTGCTACTTGAACAGTTTTTCTGACATTTTGCTGATTGAAGTCAAAGTTGCAATGCCACACATACCACATGATCTTTACAGCTTACTTTCTATTGACTGCTGCCATAGTCCCTTCTCTTACTTATGCCACACATGCCACATGGTCTTTACAGCTTACCTTCTTTTGACAACTGCCACAGTCTCTTCTCTTTCCAATGCCACACATGACACATGGTCTATAAATCTATTGAAAACTGCCACAGTTTCCTCTCTTTCCAATGCCACATGGTCTTTACAACTTGTCTTCTATTGACAACTGCCCCAGTCTCTTCTTTCTCCAATGCCACATGGTCTATAAATCTTACCTTCTGTTGATTACTGCCACAGTCTCTTCTCTTTCCAATGCCACACAAACCACATGGTTTTTACAACTAATATTCTTTTGACTATTGCCACACTCTCTACTCTTTTAATGAAACACTTTGTACATGGTCTTTACAACTTACCTTCTATTGACAACTGCCACAGTCTCTTCTCTTTCCAATGCCACACATGCCACATGGTCAGTAAACTGAGTGTACCAGTCTCTAGTTCTTTTGTTACAAGTGTTTGCTAATATGTTTAATCCCTGCAATTTTTTAAAATTAAAATTAAATAATAAAATTGAGAATGGAAATGGGGAATGTGTCAAAGAGACAACAACCCGATCAAAGAGCAAAAAACACCCGAAGGCCACCAATGGGTCTTCAACACAGCGAGAAAATCCCACACCCGGAGGCACACTTCAGCTGGCCCCTAAACAAAAATGTGTACTAGTTCAGTGAAAATGGATGTCATACTAAACTCCAAAACATATAAATTAAAATTAACTAGATGTGTCGGAACGACACGAATGGCCCCGTCTCATAAAGTTTTTAAATCTGCAATTTCAATAACACATGTGGACACAAACATGCATGGATAGTATCCAGCTCTCAAGACCAATACTAGTTTGATGAAAAATTTCCTTGATCAATGAGTAGTTAAATTTCAAATTATCAGCAAACAGGAAGTGGATGTACTGAAGATTTGCTGAAACGACATGAAAATCAGCATATCGGAACGAAACATAAACTTGATCTGTAACTCATCATGGTAGACTCACGTATCAAAAATCAGCGCAAAATCTGAAGGCGTATAGAAAAAAAGTCTGTATAACTGTGATTTCAACAATTTTCAAATTCCAAAACCCGTAATTACGGCAAAAATCAGCAGTGCAGAACGAAACTTAAACTTGATCTGTAACTCATCATGGTTAACTCACATACCAAAAATCAGCCCAATATCTGAAGGCGTTTAGAAAAAAAGTCCGTATAATGGTTTGTTGCGGAATGACGGAATGACGGACAAGGGTAAAACTATATGGCCCCGACAACTTTGTTGCGGGACCATAAAAATCATACAAGACTAACAAAGGCCAGATGCTCCTGACTTGGGACAGGCGCAAAAATGTATGTAAAATATTTAAAAAATTATCAACCTAACTGAAATTGTTTTAATAAATAGGTAATTATTTTTTTCAAAATGAACAATGATAGGTCTTTACAGAGTAATTTCAAACTTCAGGAAATATTATTGTATTGCACATAATGATATTGTGCAGTAAGTGAAATATAAGGAGTACTCAAGGAAGAGCAACCAGACATATTTCCAACTTAGACAGATGCACTTTACCAGACTGCAAGTAAGACCATGCACTATACCAGACTGAAAGATTACCTATTATTTAAAGTTCACTCATTGAAAAATCATTTGCCATTATTTCCTAGAAACCTATTTGATACTCTGCAGATATGTCTCTTGATCTATTTCTAAAACATCAATAAATGTGTAAATCGAACAATTATGCATATTAAGTTTGTCTCAGTTTCTTAATTATGTGAACTTGGGTAAGAACTTGTTTATGGAAATCTATCCAGAGGAGACGTATTACAGACATGATCTACAATTCAATTTCTTCACCTATTTCTGAAAGGCATTTTAAATAATGTCTGAGGGAATACCTATATATAACATATGAAAAAGCAATAAATGTAACATGCTGTTGTTAGAATTGTTAAAGATCATACTACAAGAACAAGTAGACTACATTTGTGTGATTTAATTGTCTTTTTTTTATTGTTCTTTTTGAAATAAACAGCTATTATATCTATTTCTAAAACAAATTAAATATAATTTCATCAAATGCTGTGTATTCAAATTTTTATCTGGAGTTAGTCATCTATAACAATTCTAAAGGATCATTTAACCAACATTTGGTAAAAAAAAACAAACTATCTGTTGGGTAAATATCTCTAATATAACCCTAAGTGAGGAGTACAACTATTATCTGTAAAAGTTGCTGTTTCAAAGAATTAACAGAGGTTAACTATTTTAAATAGAAGACAATGATGAGTGATGGATTTCTCTTAGAAGAAATTTAAAGGTCCCATTGAATAAACAACACAGAGAGCAATAGCTATTGTATTTAATCAATGGGACAATTGAACTGACAAAAGTTTAAATACCTTGACCAAGAGGAGATGACTCTGTGGTAGAGTTTCATTTGGTTTATAATAATAGAAAAACATTTTTGAAAAGTTTTATAAAGGAATGGAAAGAGCACAATATGCATCATATGAGCACATGAGCTAAAGCTGTGGTGTGATCACTCCTCAAAAGCAGATGGTGTTTTATGGCATAATCTAATATTAAGATCCAACTTAAAAAAAATCAGTCTATCTAAAGCAAACTTACTAGTGGCTTGAGTGATGTTATATGTTTCTTAAGCAAACTTACAAGTGGATTGAGTGATAATATATGTTTCTTAAGCAAACTTACAAGTGGCTTGAGAGATGTTACATGTTTCTTAAGCAGACTTACAAATAGCTTGAGTGATGTTATATGTTTCTTAAGCAGACTTACAAGTGGATTGAGTGATAATATATGTTTCTAAAGCAGACTTACAAGTGGCTTGAGAGATGTTATATGTTTCAGCCATGTTGAATCATCAAACTGTAAACCAAATGCATCCTGTAAAATGGAGAAAAGATAAGTTATCTACAAATAAAATAAAAAAATTCATAGTCCATCCCTAAAATAAATATTACACACAAACTAGGGTCCTCTTTTTAATGATCATTCCTCCAAAACCAATCCATAGATTTCCTTTAAATTGGTATGTTGCTGACAAAATATATAAATTTTCTCTTTTACATAATTATGTGAAATAAGCATAGCATCACCGACTTTGTTTTTGATTTATTCATCATTCAAATTGGAGTTAAGGGTGAAAAAATTCCAGAAAGAAAAGTTTAAAAATATATTTCACTATGTATAGGACTCAAATAAAGAACTTTACACACATTATCCCTACTGGTTCACAAAAACATAAGATTGTTTTATAGCTTTGAATAGTAATTAACTGAGACCATAGTCACAATTCTTGCCAATGAATTTACATAGGGTAAAATTGAGAATGGAAATGGGGAATGTGTCAAAGAGACAACAACCCGACCATAGAGCAGACAACAGCCGAAGGCCACCAATGGGTCTTCAATGCAGCGAGAAACTCCAGCACCTAGAGGCGTCCTTCAGCTGGCCCCTAAACAAATATGTATACTAGTTCAATGATAATGGACGTCATACTTAACTCCAGATTATACACAGGAAACTAAAATTAATAAAATGCTCTGCAGGGCGCAGCTTGATACGACCGCAGAGGTCGAACCCTGAACAGTTGGGGCAAATTTTCTCTTTTACATAATTATGTGAAATAAGCATAGCATCACCGACTTTGTTTTTGATTTATTCATCATTCAAATTGGAGTTAAGGGTGAAAAAATTCCTGAAAGATAAGTTTAAAAATATATTTCACTATGTATAGGACTCAAATAAAGAACTTTACACACATTATCCCTACTGGTTCACAAAAACATAAGATTGTCTTATAGCTTTGAATAGTAATTAACTGAGACCATAGTCACAATTCTTGCCAATGAATTTACATAGGGTAAAATTGAGAATGGAAATGGGGAATGTGTCAAAGAGACAACAACCCGACCATAGAGCAGACAACAGCCGAAGGCCACCAATGGGTCTTCAATGCAGCGAGAAACTCCAGCACCTGGAGGCGTCCTTCAGCTGGCCCCTAAACAAATATGTATACTAGTTCAATGATAATGGACGTCATACTTAACTCCAAATTATACACAGGAAACTAAAATTAATAAAATGCTTCGCAGGGCGCAGCTTGATACGACCGCAGAGGTCGAACCCTAAACAGTGGGGGCAAGTATGGACACAACATTCAAGCTTGATACAGCTTTGCATTTGGATTGTGATTAAATATTTGACACAGCATAAATTTCTAACACAGAATGAATGTGGTCTAAGAACTTAAAAATTTTAAATTGGACATTCACCTATAATGGTCCAATATCCAAAATCTAAATACATGGTTAGATTCAGCATATCAAAGAACCCCAAGAATTCAATTTTTGATGAAATCAAACAAAGTTTAATTTTGGACCCTTTTGACCTCAATGTGGACAAAGTTGATAACGGGGCCCAAAAATCAAAAATCTAAATACATAGTTAGATTCAGCATATCAAAGAACCCCATATATTTAATTTTTGTTGAAATCAAACAAAGTTTAATTTTGGACCCCGATTTGGACCAACTTGAAAACTGGGCCCATAATCAAAAATCTAAATACATGTTTAGATTCAGCATATCAAAGAACCCTAAGAATTCAATTTTTGTTAAAATCAAACTAAGTTTAATTTTGGACCCTTTGGACCTTAATGTAGACCAATTTGAAAACGGAACCAAAAAATTAAGAATCTAAATACACATTTAGATTCGGCATATCAAAGAACCCCAATAATTCAATATTTGATGAAATCAAACAAAGTTTAATTTTGGACCCTTTTGACCTCAATGTGGACCAATTTAAAAACGGGGCCCAAAATCCAAAAACTAAATACACGGTTAGATTCAGCATATTAAAAAACCCCAAGAATTCAAGAATAAAACCCCATTGAAATTGGTCAAGAAATAAGCAATTTATACGAAGTATCTTCTTTTGCACAATACTGTGCAATTAAATATTTCTTGCTATTGCGCAATACTGTACAATTGACAATTTCTTGCTATTGCGCAATATTGTGCTATTGGATATTTCTTGCAATTGCGCAATACTGTGCAATTGAAGATTTCTTGCTATAGCGCAATACTGTGCAATTGAAGATTTCTTGCTATTGTGCAATACTGTGCAATTGAAAATTTCTTGCTATTGCACAATACTTATTATATAATAATTTACACATCCTGTTTGGTGTGTATCTCCTACCATATCATTATTATTTGCTTTTAAATATAAATCAGAAATAACCAACTTAAAATGGAAAATTTTAAAAGAAAAAACAAGGAAAAAAAGAAAGAAAAAAATCCCCCCCCCCAAATTTTTTGAACTCCCTTATGATTCATCACCCCCAAACTCAATCCCAGCCTTCCCTTTGTGGTATGGTACCTTGCAGTACAATTTCAGAGAGATCCATACACTTGAACACAAGTTATTGTCTGGAAACTAGAAAAATGTGTTTTTTGGCCCCTTTTTGGCCCCAAATTCCTAAAATATTGAGGCAATTACCCCCATCATCAATCCCAGCCTTCCCTTTGTGGTATGGTACCTTGCAGTACAATTTCAGAGAGATCCATACACTTACACACAAGTTATTGTCCTGAAACTAGAAAAATGCTTGTTTTTTACCCCTTTTTGGCCCCTAATTCCTAAAATATTGAGGCAATTACCCCCATCATCAATTCCAGCTTTCCCTTTGTGGTATGGTACCTTGCAGTACAATTTCAGAGAGATCCATACACTTGAACACAAGTTATTGTCTGGTTAACTAGAAAAATGCTTATTTTTGGCCCCTTTTTGGCCCCAATTCCTAAACGTTTCGGCAATTACCCCCAAACTCAATTCCAGCTTTCCCTTTGTGATATGGAACCTTGTAGTACAATTTCAGAAAGATCCATACACTTACACACAAGTTATTGTCATGAAACTAGAAAAATGCTTGTTTTTTGCCCCTTTTTTGGCCCCTAATTCCTAAAATTTTGAGGCAATTACCCCCAAAATCAATCCCAGCATTCCTTTTGTGATATGGAACCTTGTGGTACAATGTCAGAGATATCCATACACTAACACACAAGTTATGTCTGGAAGTTACAAAAATGCTTATTTTTGGCCCCTAATTCCTTTACTGTTGGTACCATAACCCCCAAAATCAATCCCAACCTTCCTTTTGTGGTATTGAACCTTGTGGTAAAATTTCATAGAGATCCATGCACTTAAACTAAAGTTAGACTGCGAAAACCAATGTGTCTTCGGACGACGCCGGACGACGCCAGACGACGACGACGACGATGCCAACGTCATACCAATATACGACCACAAAATTTGGGGTCGTATAAAAATGATACAAGACTAACAAAGGCCAGAGGCTCCTTACTTGGGACAGGCGCAAAAACGGGCGGGGTTAAACATGTTTTTTGAGATCTCAACCCTCCCCCTATACCTCTAGCCAATGTAGAAAAAACAAACGCACAACAGTACGCACAGTAAAACTCAGTATAAGAGAAGTCGAGTCCGATGTCAGAATAGGAAACAAAAGAAAATAAAGAAAATGACAATAATACATAAATAACAACAGACTACTAGCAGTTACTGACATGCCAGCTCCAGACCTCAATTAAACTGATTGAAAGATTATGTCTTCATCATATGAATATCAGGCACAATCCCTCCTGTTAGGGGTTTAGTATTATACCGTCATAAAATATATGAGAAGAACATAACTCGTGTCATGCCAACAGCTGGTTTTAAAATAAATGTGTTTAATTCCGATGCAAAGACCCTATAAGTGAATCAATATTAAAGCCAAAATATGCAATCTTTAATGACCTGACAACAGTATCGTAACTATATCCCTTCTTAATAAGTCTGTTTAAAGGTTTTGTTAGCTTTTGAGGTGAATACTGACATTTTTGTGCTTTGTAAAGAATATTACCATAAAAGATTGGATGTGAAATAACGTATAAGATGTCTGCATGTTGAGTTATATTTACGAATGATGTCCTTATACCGATGATAAAATTTAGTAAATGTTTTGACTAGTTTATGATATCGAAAACCCTGGTGTAATAATTTTTCAGTAATACATAAATTTCTCTCACTAAAATCTAATACGTTGTTACATACACGAGCCAATCGTACAAGTTGAGATATATAAACACCAAAGGATGGTGACAAGGGAACGTCACCATCTAAAAATGGATAATTAACGATAGGAATTGAAAAATCATCTCTTTTATCATAAATTTTTGTATTAAGCTTCCCGTTAATGATATAGATATCAAGATCGAGGAAAGGACAGTGGTCATTGTTACTATTAGCTTTATTTAAAGTAAGTTCAACAGGATAAATTTCTTTAGTATACATACTGAAGTCGTCATTATTGAGAGCCAATATATCATCCAAATATCTATAAGTATTGTTAAATTTTTGTATCAGATGTTGTTTCGATGGGTCTTTGCTGATTTTAGTCATAAATTGTAACTTATAACAATACAAAAACAGGTCCGCAATAAGTGGTGCACAATTAGTCCCCATTGGAATTCCGATAACTTGACGATATACGGAATCTCCAAAGCGAACAAAAATGTTATCAAGTAAAAATTCAAGGGCAGATATAGTATCAAAGCATGTCCAATTGACATAGTTCTTTTGTTTGTTGCTACTTAACTTCCAATTGTGAAAGTAGGAATGTTTCAAAACAATTGTTACTACTTTGGAAAACATTTTTACAAACTTATCAATCATTATCAAAGAAAGTGCAGCCATTGTTTTCAGTCAGCTCAATGTACTGTTAATGTATCTATTTTGTAATATATGAAATATCCAACATCCTTCAGATCTAAATTTAAAATAACAGGAGCACAACTTCATGTAATGTTGAAGAATCAG